CACAGCAACCGCCACCTCTGTGAATGGGTGCAATGGCCACGAATCCAGGATCTGCCTGTCTGTTTCACACTCTGGGGAAACAGATTCCTCTAAGGCAGGCATTGGGCTATTTTAATCTGAACAGTTTCCCTATCAGAAGCCAGCTTGCCATGAAAGTTTCCGCAGTTTGATCTAAGACACCTTCTCCAGCCCTAAAAATGCGACTTTACCGGGTGAGGTTTTTCTTATGATCAGAACCACCCAGGAATCTGGTGTTGCCATGGCCAGGGAGGCTGGAAGTTGGAGGTTTATGTTATTTCCCAATCTTGGGTCCTTTCCTGTAGCTTCTGTCTTGCTGGGGCTGGACAGGCAGAATCTGCCGCCCTGCTTCATACCTTAGAGTTGACAGGGTTGGTTTGTAAGGACTTTGCTGGGTTGTTGGTTCCGTTTGTTTCCTTCTAATCCAGAGCTCAAGTCCACAGCCTTTCACAGGCTGAGATCCCAGAACATAGTGGACAGCAGACCTGTTCTGATTTCCTGCAGTGTCTGTGTCAGGTGTGAGTGTGGACAGGTCATTTTCTCACAAATGCCACTCACCCTACACTTCACCCTGGGAGAGTCCTCACACATGTGCCACATACTTGTGCTAACGCACTGGGGAAATTCTCAAACAGCCAAGATTTCAGCATCTTAGACATTTAAAAGATTTCTGTGGATGAGAAGACAACACAGCAAAGGGAAAGGGGGTGTGGGCGCTGAGGCTGCAGCCAGGACCAACCAAGGGCACCGCTGACCCTGACCAGTGATAGTGGCTGGCACAAAGGTGGCCATGTGCGACCCACGGAACACATAGCAAGAATGGTGAGCACCAGGTGTCCTTCACTGCCTGGTCAGCAGCACCAACGCCAACACCACATGGCCTTCCCCAAGCCCCTGAGCAGGGGCTGAGCCAACAGTGGATGCTGGGACTCCCTCCACTCGTGGCAAGGAGGACAGCAGGGTTTCAGGTTTCTAAGGAAAAGGGAATAAAGTCGCTGTTGAAAACCAGCAGATCACATCACAGAGCTATTTTCAGTGATGTCTCCGTGCTCCCTTCTCTGACGTCCATAATCATTAACAGCAAAATTGGAAAAGCATTAGGAGGAGGCAGGAGTTGTAAATGCCCCCAACATCTAGCGGCAACATTGAAAGCACTACACACCTACAGCGGCCAGGTCAGAGACGACGTGAAACACCAGGTGACTCCCAAGTCAGAAGTGGAAAGGAACGTGAATCCAGAATGGGCAGGCCTGTTCCTTGACGTGGCAGGAGCAAGGAGTGAGAATAACCCTTGTGAAGGCCAGCTGGGCAGTGGGGGAGGAGACATTTCCACGCACAACCCCAAGTCCATCAAGAGACTCCGTGTCTCAGGGCACCGACCAGCCCGGGCCCTCTGTTTCATCTGCACAAAACACAGACCCACAGCCTCGTCTGCTGAGTCAGCAGTTAGCAGCCTGGGGTGCACCCCTGCCCAGATTCCTGGGCATGAGGCTCTGAGACAGGAAGACCCAAGAGGTCGGGCTCCTGGGGCGCAGGAGGTCTCCCATGAGTGGGCCAGTCACACTATGCTCTTGAGATTACCTCAGTGACCATGACCCTGACACCCAGAAAAAAAGGAATATGAACTTTTACACTAACAAGTCTTCAATGAATGGTATTCTCATAGAAACTTATTTTTCTTGTAAAACAAATGTTAAGCCTGGTTTCAAATTTTATACATCCTCAGATTATGGTTGTCTTTCTGCATTTGGTAATTTTCATCATGTCCATGCTTCATTAGGAAAAGGGAATGAGAGTTTCTGTTAGTTTGGTTCCTTCCTCTCTTCCTTGCTCCCTTACTTCCTGGTTTTCTAAGCAAATACAGTATATTAGAATATGATGGTATTGAAGGTTGACATAGAGAACATCCCAAGTGCTTGGGCCTCTGCATCCACAAGGGAGACCTAGATGATGCTACTGGCTCCTGGCTTCAGCCTGGCCCAGCCTCAGCTCTTGTGTCCATTTGGGGAGTGAACCAGCAGATAGAAGACTCTCTCTCTCTCTCTGTCTCTGTCTGTCTCCCCTTCTCTATCTCTGCCTTTCAAATAAATAAATCTTAAAAAAAAGAAAATTGACATAGCTCCCTACTAACTCTGAGACTTTAATAATATCATATTAGACCTCATTAAGAAGAAAAATCATCATCTCTTATTTGATTATTCTCCCTTCTATAATGACTAAATCAGTACCTTGTGCAAAAATATTTCTTAATCTTATTTCTGATACATGTGTAGATTGTGGGCACTAAGCTTACTCATTCTGTTATCTTGAGGATAACACAGGATAATGTATATAAGAGGATTTTGTTAATAGGTAATTTATACCTACTTGAGGTATGTCTTTTTGAAAGGGGACAGAGCGAAAAGGGGAAATATTACATGGAAGCATTAGAACTCAGCCCAGGTCTGGGAGTCAGCACACATGGACTCTGTCACTCAACTCCAACATTCTGGACACGTGACTTCAGCCTTCTAGGGAGCAGTTGTAAACTTTAACATTATGTGCAATTGTGAGCTGTAACTTTGGAACAAAGAAGATGCTGTTGGGGCTGGACTGTGGCATAACAAGTTAAAGTGCCACCTGCAATGCCAGCACCATATGGGCACTGGTTTGAGTCCCAGCTGCACCATTTTTGATCCAGCTCTCCGCTAATGCACCTGGGAAAAAAACAGAGGACAGCCCAAGAACTTAGGCCCTGCACCCACGTGGGAGAACCAAAAGAAGTTCAACTGACTTCTGGCTTCTGCCGGGCACAGTCCAGGCCATTGTGGCCATTTGGGGAGTGAACCAGCAGATGGAATAAATCTTTACTAAAAAAAAAAAAAAAAAAAAAAAAAAAAAAAAAAGATGCTGTTGCCCTATGTGACTTTTGGGAAAGTATTTTTTATCTGTTTTCATTAATTCAACACACTTTCACTGAAGTATGCAAGATATTGTGCTAAATGCTATTTTACATCGTACTATATTAGCTTTTCTCTAATACACTTTGATATCCTTATTTGAATGTTTTCATTCATTGGATTTTCATGATAGCTATACATCATGAAGAATATTTGAATTCTGGGACTGGCTTATTTTGATTTAGAAGATGGCTAACCTTATGCTGTGCCTAATAAAATGTCACATTTAAAGCTAATAAGATTCTGAGGTCTAGGTATTATGGTGCAGTGGGTTAAGCCCTTGTTTGCAAAGCCCACATGCCATATCAGAGTGCCTTTTTAAAAAAATATTTATTTATTTATTTGAGAGGCAGAATTTCAGAGAGAGGAAGAGACAGATAGCCATGTCTTCCATCTGCTGGTTCACTCCCCAGATGGCCACAACAGCTGGGGATCCAGTCGATCCAAAGCCAGGAGCCAGGAGCCAGGAGCTTCTTCCAGGTCTCCCATACAGGTGCAGGGGCCATCGTCCACTGCTTTTCCAGGCCATAAATAGAGAGTTGGGTTGGAAGAAGAGCAGCTGGGACACCCAGTGCCCATATGGGATGCCAGCTCTGCAGGTGGAGGCTTAGCTTACTGAGCCACAGTGCCGGCCCCCAAGGCCCTGCTTGACCCAGCTTCCTGCCAGTATGGGTGGAGGCTGCAGATGTCCACCCGAGTACTTGGGGTGCTGCCACCCACGGGGGAGACCTGAATGCAGTTCCTGCCTCCTGGTTCTGGCCCGGCCCAGCGTAGGCTGTTACAGGCATTTGAGGAATGAACCAGTGGATAGAAGATCTCTCTCTCTCTCTTTCTCTGTTATGTCTCCCTCTTTGTCACTCTGACCTTTGAATTAAATAAATCTATTTAAAAAAAAAAAGATTCTGAAACAAAGGTTTGCTTCTGGTGCCTTTTTTAGTTTTAATTCTTTCATACCAGAAATCAGCTGAGGTTTTATTAGATTCTTAAAACATGATTTTGAGATTTCTAGAAAGAGATACTACTCTCAATGGAGAACATTGAATCAAAGAATTTAATCTTTCGTTCTTTGAATTATTCTTGTAATTTCATGCCCTGTAGAACTAATGTGATATTGAGAGCTATACCGCTGTTTTTTTGTCTTTCCTCAACAGGAATGCGTAAGAGTTGGTATGCTATGGGAGTTAAGATTATTAGGATAATGCTATTTCTACTTATACCTTTTGTATTTGCAAATTTGAAATGTATATTTTTCTTTAGGATTTAAAGGAAAAAATTCAAATGACACATCCACAGATAAATTATAAATCAGCATTTTAATAAGTGTCCTAATCAGGCTGATTTCCTTTCCTAACACATTCTTGAACTTTTTTTAAAATTTTATTTGACAGGTAGAGTTATAGACAGTGAGAGAGAGAGAGAGAGAGAAAGGTCTTCCTTCTGTTGGTTCACCCCCGAGATGGCCGCAACAGCCGGAGCTGCACTGATCCAAAGCCAGGAGCCAGGTGCTTCCTCCTGGTCCCCCAAGCGGGTGCAGGGGCCCAAGCACTTGGGCCATCCTCCACTGCCCTCCTGGGCCACAGCAGAGAGCTGAACTGGAAGAGGGGCAGCTGGGACTAGAACCCGGTGCCCATATGGGATGCTAGCACTGCAGGTGGAGGATTAACCAAATGAACCATGGCGCCGGCCCACATTCTTGAACATTTTGTCTTTATTTATTGAATATTGCTATTATTAGCATTGTTTTTCTTAATGTATGCCTCAGCTGTAACATCATATGTAGCAAGCATTTAGACTTCCAAGAATATAATGGTGGATACTGTTCAAAATTTCAAGCTGCCCAGCTGTTAATTTACTCTTTATATTTCTGTATGACTCCTTAAAAAAAAAAAAAAAAAAAAAAGCCCTCACTTTCCTTCAGGTCAATGCTGAAGGTGGAATACCTGTGATGGGTGAATCTGCCTTGTTCTTACTGTTTTTAATCACAGGGAGAGCAGCTCTTCATTGACGTCACACTTGTTTTAAATGGCAACCCCTTTCTTTCAGACCTCTTAAGCCACGAAAATGCAGCCACGCTGAATGACGTGAAGACACTGGTCCAGCAGCTCTACACCACGCTGTGCATTGAGCAGCACCAGCTGAACAAGGAGAGGGAGCTCATTGAAAGGCTAGAGGCGCTCAAAGAGCAACTGGCTCCCCTGGAAAAGGTGAACATTCTCATCTCTGACTTTTCCCTTGAGTTTTGGCCACGGCATATTGTTTCTGTTTCTCCTAAATTTTATGTGATTAAGTCACATCAATCAAATTGGTCTACTAGTTCATGGGACTATAAAAAAGTCTTCCAGTCATAGCTCCAGAAGGATTTTAAAAGGAGTAGTTTGGAGCCTTGTTAATGAACTCGGAGCTTTGAGGTCTGGCTATACTACCCTTAACCAGATTTACCACCTTTCAAACAGAGATTGGCATAATTGCTGATCAGGAAAGGTTCTGAGTATAAGGGTAATGATTGTAGCCAAATTAAAAGTGAATATTATGTGGATATTGTGCATTTATTAAACATGACTCTGTAGAGCTAATTTGCTGTAGAAAATACTTGTGACATATTATGGAAAGTAAATTATAAAACCATGCACGTTATGATCCAAGTTTTAAATGTGTTATATATATATATATGACTGTATACATTTATGTATCTGTATACAAGCAGACAAAATCAGAAGGAATGTATTATAAAATGCTAATACAGTAATAGGATTTTGATTGATCTTCTTTATACTTTTTTAAATGTTTAACAATATACTTTTTCCTAATAATGATGCAAGTGTTTATATTTTTAAAAATTAGATTATAAGGATTAAGGAAGGGAGCATCTCTTGGTAATTTGCTTCTTTTGATTTCTTAGAAATAATTAGGATCATTCCTCAGTATCCTTTGTGTTTGTTTCCAGGACCCCCTAAGGTTCTGAAATCTGCTATGCTAAAATCCCCTACATAAAATGGTATAAAATTTGCATATAACCTGTCTACTTCCTCCCATTGAATACTTTAAATCATCTCTGGATTACTTATAATACCTGATACAATGTAAATGCTATATAAATCGTTGTTTATTCTATATTGTTAAGGGACTAATGACAAGAAAAAAATCTGCATACGTTTGCTACAGATGCAGGTTTTTTCCCTAAATATTTTCAAATCGTGATTGGTTATACCTGTGAATATGAAGTCACAGATGCCCAGCTGTATTATCCATATTTACTATGTCCTGGGAACTGTGCTAAGTGTTTTTATCTGCATTATCTGATTTAATCCTTAGGACAACCCTGTAAGGAAGTTAATGGTGGTTATTTGCAGATTAGGGCCCTGAATTCTGCTGCTCCAGTCCAGAGTCCATGCTCTGACTCACTGTGGTGTTCTACCCGTGGCGCAGCACTTGAGTTAAAACTGACGGTAGATTAAATCTTGCGTGCCACAGTGAGAGAACATAGTATGTTTTTATTTCCCCCTTTCAAAGAAGATAATCCTGTGGTTAGATGAAGAGCTATTGAAACTAAATTATTTACTCCCATATTTTCATCTATTTCTAGGATGAAATAAAAAACACCAGTGCTCTCCAAAAATACTATTCCTGTGAGATATTTTATTTGGTAAAACTATAGATAGTAGTTAGGAAGCCAAGTCATATGAATATTTCCTAGAATTAAGACTCGCCTGTGTCTTGTGAGCCTGAGCCTGTTTCTTTAATGAGAATAAAACAGTTTAAGAATTTTTCACTGGATCTGTGACAAAATGTTTTATGATTGGTCATGTGCCCAATAGGTACGAATTGAGATTAGCAGAAAAGCTGAGAAGAGGACCACTTTGGTGCTATGGGGTGGCCTTGCCTACATGGCCACACAGTTTGGCATTTTGGCCCGGCTTACCTGGTGGGAATATTCCTGGGACATCATGGAGCCAGTCACCTACTTCATTACTTACGGAAGCGCCATGGCAATGTATGCATATTTTGTAATGACACGCCAGGTAAGAATTCCTCTCCTGGTAACTTTTTATGAGAAAGAATGAAGTTTTGGTTGTCAAAGTAGTTCTCTTTTCTCTTATTTTTTTCTAAGGTCAAATGTCTTTAAGTACTCATTATCCTTTACACACACACACACACACACACACAGAGGTATGTGCATAGGCAGGTGTGTGTCAGTTATCTGTCAGGCATTATTCTTGGTGCTAGCGATAGATGTGTAGATATAAGACGTGACTTCTCATTTCATAGATCACAGACCATTAAGAGAACAGTAGAAGCCATTAAACTCATAAAGGTAGACAATAGTAAGAACAGAATAAGAAGGCAAAGGAGAATAGAATAAATCAGTCACCTAATTTGTTTTTTTTTTTTATGTGATGTATAATTAATGTATTGGTTGGATGGGGAATGTCATACTTGTTATTGAGTTCTTGGAATGGAGAATCGGTAATAACTAATCAAATACACCAAACTCTGAATTACCTCTAAGGATGGTAAGAGAATGGATGTTTGTTGTTTTTACTTCATGGAAGAAAGGTGAAAATTAAGTACCTAATCACTTTATGCTCTTGGTCTGTTCTTTATCAACCAAGACTCTATTGAATATCTCAGACTTATTTTTGTTACCAACACTAGTTTAATTATCTTGGAAATTCTTAGTGTCACTTTAGGAAGTATGAGTGATTTATTACTAATTATTATATATGGGATAACAACCACAGATCCAACCTAGCATTCCCTTGAAATACAAACATTTGAAATAGCTTAGACATGCAAGAAGCTTTCTCTGTTTCCTTAGGTATCAGTAGAAAGCTGGGAGTTGCTCTCAGATGTTTACGTGGCCGCTATTCAACATAAGCATTTTCTTTCTATTGTTAGATCAGTGGTCATAAGCACATAAGTGTGTAAGAAAATGAAGCACAAGAGTTTTATCTAAGTTTTCTGGGCCTCCCGAATGTGTCTGATAGAGAAGAGAAAATAAACTGTGTGTGTCCCTTCAATCGCTTGCCTAGAGTCTGCAGTCTTTGTCCCCATGTCTGGCTCATGCTAGTCCAGAAAGGAGCAGGTGAACAGAAAGAACAGGTGTGTCATTCTTACCTTACCTTCATTACGCATTCTTACAGCTGTGGGTCCTCTCACATCTGTCTGCAGTACTTCTCTCCCTTTCTAGCTCCTCCTTTCTCTCTCTCTCTCTCTCTCTCTCTCTCTCTCTCACACACACACACACACACACACACACACACACGCCTTTAAGAGTTTCTTTTTATCTGCTCCTTGAAGTCCACACTCCTTAGGCTGGGTGTTCATAATTGATTGTTACCTTTCTTGTCCAAATGTCTGTGTTCTAAACAAATCAAATTATCTTCTCTATTCCTGAAGACAGTCCTGAGTTTCCCACTCTTTCATTCCTTCATACTATTCTTTATTTTTTTTTTAAGACTTGTTTATTTATTTGAGAGGCAGAGTTACAAAGAGAGGTCTTCCATCCACTGGTTCACTCCCCAAATGGCTGCGAGGACCAGAGCTGGGCCGATCTGAAGGCAGCCCCCAGACCATTCTTTTAACTGGGAAAGCTCTCCCTGTTGATCTCTGCCTATCAGAGTTCAAGTTTACTTAAATGCTGATCTCTCACAAACCTTCAACCAGTCCCCCACGGCTGACTTTGACCTTTTCCTCCTCTGAATTCTGTGTTGTTGTTGTTGTTGTTTTTCAAAGACAACTCTCTAAGTACATACCTCCATTTTCTTTTAAGATTTATTTATTTATTTGAAAGGCAGAGTTACAGAGAGAGAGGAGACAGAGAGAGACATCTTCCATCTGCTGGTTCACTCCCCAAATGGTCACAATGACTTGAACTGGACCGGGCCAAAGCTGGGAGCCCAGAACTCCAACCAGTCTTCCACATGGGTGGCAGGGGTCCAAACACTTGGACATCTGCTGCTGCTTTCCCAGGCACATTAGCAGGGAGCTGGATCAGAAGTGGAGCAGCCTGGACTCAGAGCAGCGCTCCTGTGGGATGCCAGTGTCTCAGGCAGTCGCTTAACCCACTGCACCATAATGCTGGCCCCATCCCTGCCTTGTTGTTGAGGAAGCTGAGACTCAGAGAGGTTCATCTGCCTGAACACTGTGTCTAATGGAGTGCAAGACCAGGAATCGAACCCACATTACCTGATCCCCAGAGGCTGCTCTTTCCACTCCATTATCATGCTGCCTTATGTGGACTACATGGTAGAAAAACAGTGACTGCTTACAGAAAACTGTTTTGTAGATGTTTTCCTTGAACTATAGGTTAATACAAATATTAAACTTGAAACAGTGTTCATGCAGTTTTCTTCTTCTAATCATGTTGTGGAATCTCTTTTAAAGATTTTTTAAAATTTTTTATTTGAAAGATTTACAGAGGGGGAGAGGCAAAGAGAGAGAGAGAGAGAGAGAGAGAGATATCTTCCATCCACTGGTTCACTCCCCAGTTGGCCACAACAGCTGGGGCTGGACTAGACCTAAATGAGGAGCCAGGAGCAGGGGCTTCTTCTAGGTCTCCCACATGGGTGCAGGGGCCCTAGCAAGGAGCTCAATCAGAAGTGGAGTGCCGGGTCTCGAACCAACGCCCATATGAGATACAGGCGTCACAGGCAGAGGCTTTTTTTTTTGGGGGGGTGGGGCAGGCAGAGTTGACAGTGAGAGAGAGACAGAGAGAGTTATAGACAGTGAGAGACAGAGAGAAAGGTCTTCCTTCCGTTGATTCACTCCCCTAATGGCCGCCATAGCCGGCGCTGCACTGATCCGAAGCCAGGAGGCAGGTGCTTCCTCCCGGTCTCCCATGCAGGTACAGGAACCCAAGCACTTGGGCCATCCTCCACTGCTCTCCCAGGCCACAGCAGAGAGCTGTACTGGAAGAAGAGCAACTGGGACTAGTACCCAGCGCCCCAACTGGGACTAGAACCTGGGGTGCTGGCGCTGCAGGTGGAGGATTAGCCTAGTGAGCCACGGCGCCGGCCACAGGCAGAGGCTTAACCTGCTATGCCACAACACTGGCCCCAGTGCTGTGGAATCTTTAATATCTTATTTGTCCTATTAAGCATTCTACTTTTCTGGTTCCCAAAACATGCTTGCTGCCACCAAGTGACAACTTAAAAAAATAGCAATAACAAAGAATTAATTTAGTTAATTAATTTAGTTAATTAGAGAAAATTTTTTGGAAGATTTATTTATATATTTGAAAGGCAGAGTTACAGAGAGGCAGTGGCACAGAGAGAAGGGGAGATCTTCCATCCACTGTTCACTCCACAAATGGCCACAACGGCCAGAGCTGGGCTGATCCAAAGCCAAGAGCTTCTTCTGGGTCTCCCATATGTGGGCAGGGGTCCAAAGACTTACACCATTTTCCACAGCTTTCCCAAGCACATAGCAGAGAGCTGGATTGGAACTGGAGCAGCCAGGACTTGAACCGGTGCCCATATGGGATGCCGGCACTGCAGGTGGCAGCTTTACTCGCTATGCCACAGCACCAGCCTCTTATAAATAGGAAAACATTAACCAAATAAAATGTAAATAGTTTCTCAGGTTAAATATTCTAACTAGTATTCATCATTGATACATGAAGCAAAATGCCTCTTCCACAGCATTTAAACCCTCCTAAACTGTTGTGACAATGAGATACTGTGTTTATCAGCAATCTAAATAGTCATTGGCCACACACATAAGGACATTTCTGTTAACAATAGAGCACACAAACAATGGTGTGTACTAGAAGCCTAGGCATGTAGTAGGCAGTACCACCGGGATGTGTGTAAGCACACAATGTGACAGTCGCATGACAATGAAGTCGTCTGATGATGCGTGTCTCAGAACATATCCCCCCGAGCAGGGCATGGTTGCAAATCCCAGTAGTAAGTTACATTCCAAAGAATCTTTATAAGATGGAAATATCATTGAAAAGCATTAAATCAAATGAAATACTAAATTTCTTTGACTGCTATTTCAGAGAAACCTGAATAGTAGTCTCTGTGATGAGGAAAAGGAAACTGACAGTCAGAATCGCCAGGCCAGGGCAGCACTTAGCCCAGCAGATAAGACACTGCGTTCCATGTCTCTCACACTGGAGTTGCCTGGGTTGGGTTCTGGCTCTGGTGCCACACCGCAGCTTCCTACCCATGCAGACCCTGGGAGGGCAGCAAGTGCTGACTCAAGCCGCTGGGTTCCTGCCACCCTAACGGGAGACCTGCATAGCACTCCTGGTTTTGTGGGCGTTTGAGAGTGAGCCAGTGAATGATATTCTCTTTTTCTGTCCCTTGACCCTCCCTTATCTCCTATTTCTTCTCTCCATCCTCTCCTCCTCCTAATGTGTGTGTGTGTGTGCGTGCAAACGCGTGTGTGTATGTGAGTTTTTGCCTCTCAAATAAATAAAAATTAAAGCAGAATTGCCAGTCTATTTTACCTCAGCATGCATGGGAACCACCCATCCCATGGTCTAGCCAGCCCATGCATGTTCCATGGAAATGCTATGTCAAGATGTTGAAAATTGGCTCTTGGGAAATAAAAAGAGTTAAATATTAAAGTATGTAAACAAATAGATTTTAAGTCCAACAAGGTACCTATCAGAGCAATAATGAAAAAAAAAAAAGAGTAGGTTTGGAAGCACTCACCTAGCTTTTAATATTCTTTGTCTCCTCCATTCCAACAGCCATCATTTATGTTTATATTCTGCTTCTGAAAACCATGTCATTGGCCATTCAGGACCTTTTCTCCTAGAACTGTATTTTTTTTCTGATCCGTTTTATTTGCTCGTTCTCTGCTTTGCCCTCATCCAGACCTTTAGGCTACTGGCATCTTTCTCAAGTTTTTATTGTCGCCTTCCTACTGTACTGTTTCCTTTTCTTTCCAGCCTAGACCATACTCCCATATTCTTGCTAGCTTCCTACAACCCCGGCCCCTTTGTCTTCCTACCATATGTGCTCAGACTCCTCACCTTCGCTGAAATCTGGCCTTTATCCTACACAGGCCACTCAGCATGGCTAGGGAAAAATGAAGTAAGATGTGGAAAGGGCTATTTCTTATATTTCTAATTCTATTTCCTTCCCTTTTATCCCCAAGTAACTATTCTAACACTCCATGTCAGTTCCCCCAGCCTACCTTTAACCTTGCCTCCTACACCTAGAACATTGAAGTTAATGGGTTCTAAGCTTTCTAATTTCTAATTCTGTGAGTTTAACTGTATCAGTACCAAGTTTTGTACTATTTCCTTCAGGTTCAAAGAACAGGTGGCATTCTCCTCAGGGCCAGTCCTCCCCATCCTTAATCATATAGTCCCTCCTTCCACTGTCTTATTCCAGGATAGTTTGTTGTGTCCCTTATGTCTTTAAACTCTTTCTCTCTGACTCTCATAACCAAGCCATCCACATTTCTCTATATGTTTCAAATCACAAAGCTTCTAGGAAAGAATGTAGCACAGTTTCTCAGTAAATGTTCATTGCCCAAAAGAAAAAAAAAATAAATTTGCAAATTGTATTTAGTGTGAAGATTTACATCATAAGCTTATTGGTTAGTACCTTAATAATAGAAATTTAGATGAAAGTAGAGAGCTGTCAAGTTCTTAATTTAAAACTTATTCTTTAATTGGTGTTATTTTTTATTGCTGATTGACCGATTGATTTGAAAGGCCAAGTGACAAAGAGGCAGAGACAGAGAGAGATCATCTGTCCACTGGGTTTATCCCCAAATGCCTGCAACACCTAGGGCTGGGGCTGGGCCTGGGCCTGACAGGATCCAGGAGCTCCCACATGGGTCTCCCACATGGGTGTCAGGGACCCAAGTACTTGGGTCATCATCCACTGCCTCCCAAGTGCATTAGCAGGGAACGGGTCAGAAGCAGAATGGAAATCAGTACCAGGCACTCCAGTATGGGATGCTTAACCCACTGTGCCCAGTCGGTGTTCTTGATCCAGACCTCAGTCTTACTCATTTTAAAAGACTTCCTCAAGCCTTTAGCTACCATTCATCCTATAGCTGTCATCATCAGTCAGTGAATATTTACTCCTATTTCTAGCTATAGCACACTAGATAGCACACAAAGGGAATTCATATACTGGCATTATCAGAGATAGCCTTCAAAATTACTGTACTTATTATATTCATGTAGGTAAAAGGCAAGGTTGAGAATATTGTCAGATAACTTGATTTTTTGTTTAAAGAACCAAATGAAAATGACAAAAAATGTAGTGGATGCCTTTAACAGCAGAGGACACATAACTAAAGAGAGAAATAATGACCTGGAGTAGGAAGTCAGAAGAAAATATTCAAGTGACACAAGAAAAGACAGAAAGATGTAAAATAAGGAAAAAGGCAGAAGATACAGTAGAAAATTAAATATATATTTAATTTTTTTGGAGTCTCAGAAGCAGAAGAGAGTGGAGAGAAACAATGTTTTAAGAGCCAACAGCTGAGAATTTTTCAAAATGATGAAAGATATCAATTTAGAAATTTAATGCCAACAAATACAGTTGTAAAAAAAAGAAATCCATATCTAGACACATGATGCTTAGTGAAATTAGCCAGTCCCAAAGGGACAAATATAATATGTTCTCTCTGATCAATGACAACTAACCAAGCACCAAAAAGGAAACCTGTTGAAGTGAAATGGACACTATGAGAAATAATGACTTGATCAGCCCTTGTCCTGATTGTCGAGGAACAACTTACTATTTTATTCCTTTTAGGATTTTTTTATTCTACTTAATACCATTGATTGAACTCTTTAATTAACACACGGTTATTCTTAGGTGTTTAAATTTAACTGAAAAGTTATCCCTGTTAAATAAAAGAGTGGGAATAAGAGAGGGAGGAGATGTACAGTTTGGCACATGCTCAATCAGACTTGCCCCAAACAGTAGAGTTAGAAACGTGCCTGGGGATTCCAATTCAATCCCATCAAGGTGGCATGTACCAATGCCATCTCACTAGTCAAAGTGATCAGTTTCAGCTCACAATTAATCATAATGATAGGATTAAGAGTCAAAGGGATCATATAAACAAGACTAGTGTTTGCTAATGCTAACTGATAGAATTTAAAAGGGAGAGAACGATCCAACATGGAAAGCAGGATACACGGCAGACCCATAGAATGGCAGATGTCCTAAACAGCACTCTGGCCTCAGAATCAGCCCTTAAGGCATTCAGATCCAGCTAAAACGCCCATGAGAGTATTTCAGGCATGGAAAGCCAAGGCACTGTGGCAAAAAAAAAAAAAAAAAAAAAAAAAAAAAAACCACAAACACACACACACACCAAAACAGAACAAAACCTAAATGAAAGATCTCTGTGAGTGAGATCCCAGCGGAAAGAATGGGCCATCAAAGAAGGAGGTACCTTTCTCTAAAGGGAGGAGAGAACTTCCACTTTGACTATGACTTTGTCTAAATAAGATCGGAGTTGGTAAACTCAAAAGGCTTCCATAGCCTTGGCAACTCATGACAAGAGCCTAGGGTGATTACTGACACCATAAACAAGAGTGTCAATTGTTAAATCAACAGCAGAATCACTGTGCATTTACTCCCCATGTAGGATCTCTGTCCTTAATGTGTTGTACTATGTGGATCAATGATATAACTAGTAATCAAACAGTATTTTATATTTTGTGTTTCTGTGTGGGTGCAAACTGTTGAAATCTTTACTTAATGTATACTAAATTGATCTTCTGTATTATATATAAAGATAATTGAAAATGAATCTGGATGTGAATGGGATGGGAGAGGGAGTGGGAGATGGGAGGGTTGCGGGTGGGGGGGAAAAGCCACTGTAATCCAAAAGCTGTACTTTGGAAATTTATATTTATTAAATAAAAGTTTTTAAAAAAAAAAAGGTGAGAGGCGTTTTCAGACAAACAGCTGTCACTCTCAGATTGGCACCAGAGACTAAAGAGTGTCCTGTGGGCAGAAGGAAGATTATCATGAATGGAAAGTCTGAAAAGTGGGAAGGAATGAGAGTGGTAAATCTGTGACAGAATTGCAACAAATATTAAATGTATAAAACAATTATAAGAAACCCTTATAGCACTTATAGTACAGAGAGAATTTGTTCTGACATCTTTCATCGTCTGGGAAGAGGATGCTGGTACTGCTTCTAGTCAGCTTTGAAGAAGCCCTAACTGGTACAGAAGGTGAGAGAAAGATGTGGCAGATGTAGACATCAAAAAGAAATTAGACATTGTTCATAGATTTTGTACATTAAAGAAAGTATATAGAGGACCCAGCGTTGTGGTGTAACAGGTAAAGCTGCTACTTGCAGTGCCAGCATCCCACATGGGCACTGGTTCCAGTCCTGGCTGCTCCACTTCTGATCCAGCTCTCTGCTGCGGCCTGGGAAAGTAGCAGAAGATGGCCCAAGTCCTTGGGCCCCTGCTCCAGCATGGGAGACTTGGAAGAGGCTCCTGGATCCTGGCTTCAGATCAGTGCAGCTCCAGCCATTGTGGCCATCTGGGGGGTGAACCAGCAGATGGAAGACTCCCCCTCTCCCTCCCTCCCCCTTCCCCTCTCCCTCCCTCCTCCTTCCCCTCTCCCTCGCTCCCCCTTCCCCTCTCCCTCCCTCCCTCTCCCCCTCCCCCTTCCCCGCTCCCTCCCTCCCCTTCCCCCTCTTCCCTCCCCCCCTCTCCCTCTCCCTCTCCCCCTCCTTCTCCCCTCCCCCTCCCACTCCCTCTCCCTCTCCTTTCATCCAGGTTTCCCACATGGGTGCAGGGGCCCAAGCACTTGGGCCATCTTCCACTGCTTTCCCAGGCCATAAACAGAGAGCTGGATTGGAAGAGGAACAACTGGGACACAAACCAGCACATGTGTGGGATACCAGTGTCACAGACAGAGGCTTAGTCTACTACGCTAGGGCACTGGCCCCGTCCAGAATGTTCTTGGTGTCATTATTCATTATAGCCAAAACAGGAAACAACCCAAGCATCTATCAGTAGTAGTATGGATAAATAAATTGCAGTTTACTCACAGTATAATATAGCAATGGAAGTGAGCAGACTACAGCTACACTCAAAAGAGGAATCTCACAAACATAATATTAAACAAAAGTAGACATGCATACATACTACATTACTCCATTTTTCTGAAATTCCAAAATTAAGTTCTATCACTCAGAGACACGGAGGAGGAAAGTTACAAAGAAGGCAAGAGAATGATGACCCTAAAGGTAAAAGTGGTGATTACTCTGGAGAGAAACAAGTGTTAGAAACTGGGAAGAGGCAAGGGACTTCCGGGCTGTGGTGCCGCTCTGTGATGACTGGCGTGTTTGTTACCTCACGATTCATTGTGATGCTCTTTGGTTGTGTGTCCACTCCTGTATGTGTTTCACAATAAAAGCTGTTCAGAAGAAATGAGCTATTTAACACGGCACAGAACAGTGTATCTATGTGTGCATCTGTGTTGAAACTGAAGATAGTACCTGAAGGACTAATAATTACATTTCTCCTTTATTTCTGTAGGAGTATGTTTACCCAGAAGCCAGAGACAGACAATACTTACTATTTTTCCATAAAGGAGCCAAAAAGTCACGTTTTGACCTAGAGAAATACAACCAACTCAAGGATGCAATTGCTCAGGTAACTTTGGCAAAAATGAAATCCCGGCCGCGTCTTGTATGGCATTGTTACTAACCACAACCACGGCACTTCAAATGGATACACGGGAAAACCACCCAGCCCTCCGCCCTCCTCTTCTGGCTAAATTACTCCTTGGCTGATAAAAACGACTGCTTTAGCCTTGGACGCTCTCTGGGAAGTGTTGCAACATCAGCAGACGGAAAGATGGCAGACCCTGTCTATCCACACCAACACACTGAAATGTTGAGTTGTCTGTACTTTTCTTTCTTCCTGTTAATCTCTCTGAAATAATTGGCCCAAAGATTTCAAACCTAAGGCATGGCAGCAGTGGGGCACGGAGAGCCCAGGTAGGGGAGGCACTACCAGAAATTCCCGACAGGCGCAGTTCAGGGACTGTCCAGTGGCAGATGCTTTTAGATTGATGTGTTTCATTTTTTCACAAAAGCTGCCTTTTTCAGATTTCTGGATGTGCCTCCCTCAGTCTACTGTAGCTTTGATGTGTTGAATTAATCCTCCCTGCTCTTCTCCACAACAGTTGTGACTTTCGAGATTTTTCAGCAGTCTCTAGAAGCTCTTCCATTCTGAGTGTTACGTTTTTCTTCTCTGGATCCTCTTGTCGACCCCTGCCACCACCTGAGTGGACTTGGATCTCCTGGTGCGGTGTGGGGATGCTCTCGTCCTGAGGGGATGCATCCGAATCATCCCCGCTGGGGCCGGCGCTCTGCGCAGCGTGTTAGCTGCCGCCTGCAACCCTTGGGTGCTGCTGCGAGTCCCAGCTGCTCCGCTTCTGAGCCAGCTCCCTGCTAATAGTCTGGGAATGGCAGCAGAAGATACTCCAAGTGCCTGGGCCTCTGCCACCCAACATGGGAGACCTGCATAGAGTTTCTGGCTCCTGGCTTCAGCCTGGCCTGGCCCTGGCCTTTGTGCCTTCTAGCAGATGGGAGATCTCTACCCCCCACACCTCTCTCTCCCTCCCCTTTTCTCCCTCTTTCTCTCTGTAACTCTGCCTTTCAAATAAATAAGTAAATTTAAAAAAAAAAAAAAAAAAAAGTGCAAAAAGGCCTGCCCTGGGGCTTACCGGGTAAAACCCACAACCTGCGACCCCAGCATCCCATTTGGGCACCAGTTCAAGTCCCAGCTGCTCCACTTCCAATCGAGCTCCCTGCTTATGGCCTGGGAAAGCAGTGAAAGATGGTGCAAGTGCTTGGGCCCCTGCACCCACATGGAAGACCTGGATGAAGCTCCTGGCTTCAGACTGGCCCAGCTCCAGCCATTATGTGAACTAGTGGATGGAAGATCTCTCTGTGTCTCTCCTTCTCTCTCACTCTCGCTCTCTCTAACTCTGCCAGTTAAAAAAGTAAATAAATCTTAAAAAAAAAAAAAAAAAAGTGCTGCAGTGATGGGCGTTGTGGTACCACAGGTTAAGCTGCCACATGGGCTAACCACATTGCATATCAGAGTGCCAGTTCAAGCTGCTTCCAGCCTAAGCTACTGAGAGGCAGCAGATAATGGCTCATGTGGCTCAAGGACTTGGGTTCCTGCCCCCACCTGGGAGACCTGACTCCCAGTTCAGGCCTGGCACAGCCCCAGCTATTGTAGGCATTTGGGGAATGAACCAGCTGATGGGAAGATCCTCTCTCTCTCTCTCTCTCTCTCTCTCTCTCCCCCTCCCTCCCTCCCTCCCTCTGTGTGTGTGTGTGTGTGTGTGTGTAAGAGAGAGAGAGAGACTCTACCTTTCAAATAAACACAATTTTTTAAGTGCTGCAGTTGAGTGCACGTCCCTATTTTTAAAATATGCTGGCTAAGTGAAAACCTTAGACAATGACTGGGTCAGTAACTGTAAAGTCTTAAGTAGCTTGGCCAGCGCCGTGGCTCACTAGGCTAATCCTCCGCCTGCGTCGCCGGCACCGCGGGTTCAAGTCCTGGTTGGGGCGCCGGATTCTGTCCCAGTTGCCCCTCTTCCAGTCCGGTTCTCTGCTGTGGCCCAGGAGTGCAGTGGAGGATGGCCCAAGTGCTTGGGCCCTGCACCTGCATGGGAGACCAGGAAGAAGCTCCTGGTTCCTGGCTTCGGATTGGGGCAGCACTGGCCGTAGCAGCCATCTGGGGGATGAACCAACGGAAGGAAGACCTTTCTCTCTGTCTCTCTCTCTCTCACTGGCTAACTCTGCCTGTCAAAAATAAATAAATATATGGGCCGCGGCAGCCATTGGAGGGTGAACCAACAACAAAAGGAAGACCTTTCTCTCTGTCTCTCTCTCTCTTTCACTGTCCACTCTGCCTGTAAAAATAAATAAATAAATAAATAAATAAATAAATATATATATATGTAAATAAAAAGTCTTAAGTAGCTTAAGTTAGAGTTCTGGTTCCAGGAGAGTTTTGGGAAAGGACGCCTCACTCGAGCCGTGCCGTGGAGGTGGGTGTCTCAGATGGCCCTGCGTTCTTCGGCCCCTGAGTCTGCAGGGTTTGGCCAGTGACAGCACTGCCTTTTCTGGGGACTTTCTTTCCTTTTTTTTTTTAAGAGATTTATTTATTTATTTATTTATTTAAAAGTTAGAGTTACACAGAGAGAGGAGAGGCAGAGAGAGGTAGAGACAGAGGGAGAGGTCTTCCATCTGCTGGTTCACTCCCCAGTTGGCCACAACGGCCAGAGATGCACAGATCCAAAGCCAGGGGCCAGGAGCTTCTTCCAGGTCTCCCACATGGGTGCAGGGGCCCAAGGACTAGGGCCATCATCTTCTGCTTTCCCAGGTCACAGCAGAGAACTGGATCGAAAGAGCAGCAGCCGGGACTAGAACCGGCGCCCATATGGGATGCCAGTGCTTCAGGCCAGGGCTTTAACCCGCTGCGCCACAGCGCTGGCCCCAGAACTTTCTTAACAGCTGAAACTGCCAAGGACAGACCTTGGATCTGTCTTAACTGTCCTCTGCTCTGAATGCAAGCCCCTTTGCCTGTCGAGCCACTCGGCTTTCCAGAGTACTGAGATGGCTCTCTGACTTGCTAACGCAGGACGGACAGTGTCCTGTCCTCAGGGGATGCTGTTTTAGCCTCACTAACCAGTAGTCTTCCTCCGCTTCTGTTTCTATTTTAGGCAGAAATGGACCTTAAACGACTGAGAGACCCATTGCAAGTACATCTGCCCCTTCGACAGATTGGTGAAAAAGATTGATCTGCAAACAGCCTCTGAGTCCCGGCAGAAAGAACCTGTTTATAACTCTTGCCTTTTTAATGAAAGCATAGCAGGTGGCAGCTGGGAGCCATGTCGGGGTAGAGGGTTTTTACCTTTAATTACAAAACAAAAACAAAGAGGATCTTAGGGAAGAAAGGAGTGCTAAAATCTGAGGATCAGGCATTGTGGAATATAAGCTCACAGGGCCTAGGAAATAATGTCTTAATCAAGCATCTCACTTGCCGGATGAAAACGATGCATTTACATAGCTGAGAGATTCATCAAGGGAGAATGATGCTGGGGGTGTGTGTTTCTTGCATCTTTGCAGGGTCAGCAAACAGTAACACACCAGCACCCTACTCTACTCTAATTTTTTTTAATTTAACTTTTCTTATTTTGACATAGGAGTAAATCAATTATCAGAAAAGCAAATCCTTGTGATACATGGGTGGCAGAGTCTGAGTCCCTATCATTCGCATTCATTTCAGGCTGGGCCCAGTCTCTGTGCCGCCCCCGGAATCTGCCCCGCCTCTGCCCCTCTTCTCACCGCCTACCTGTACTTGAGGTTACACTAATTTTATGCAAGTGGTAATTAGAACCAATGTATGATTGTTTGATCACTGAGTGTTGGATTATCCCCTTAATAGCTTCTTAAAATATCTGTGTATCCCAGTTCCCTGGATGAATATTTAAAAATCATTGGCAACACTGCATGAAGTTTTTGTTTTGCTTTTTTTTCTTCTTTAACTGATTAATCTTTAAGAGGAAGGATAATTTTCCTACTTCATGTATCTGTCCCCCTGCACAGTGCAAACCAGAGGAGGGGTGTTCAGCTGTCTCACCAATCAGGAAGATGTGAGTCTTAGACGTTGGCTAAAAATCATGGCTCTGTAGCCATTTCAGAACCCGAGTAATCTCACTGCTGTTGGCCAGTCTGTGTGACGGCCCTGCGTCACCCCAGGCCCGGGGAGTTGCGCTGGCACCCGCCCCCGGCCCCTGCCCTGGCCATCAGCCTAGCGGGGGCATCTCCGAGGGTGCGAGTCGTCTTTATACTGAAACACACTTCTATGGCTTCATTCAGCCTGCCCACTCTGCCCTACTCTTTCTTATCTTAAATTAAACTGCAAGAAGAAGGAACTGGTGTCACCCTCCATCAAGCAGTTGCACCCGTCACCCCATCTTCCATCGTCTGTCCAGACCTGTGCCCTTGGCAGAGCCAGAGCCGGCCGTGCGCTGTGCAGGCAGGAGGGCAGGGTTCCGGGCTGGCCCCGCAGCTGGCTGCCTCTCTCCTCTCTCAAGCTTCCTCCCGCCTCATCATGGCAAGGGGCTTCCTTCTCTTTTCCTTCCTCCTTTGGGATCATTGTGTGTGAGGGAAAAAAAAAAACTCAGACCCCAGGTGCCTTGCAGAGGCTGGAGGCTTGAGGAGAGAGGATGCATGCCCCCCCACTTCCTGTGCCCTGCTCCCTCCCCCGCTCACCCCCCCATTTCTTTTTGTTAAGTTGTGCCGGTTATTTTGAAGCCATTTCTCCTGTTTGTGTGCAGGGTTTGGAAGGAGGAAGAGCAGAGAGCAGAAGCGCAAATCTTTCAGGGTGTGTGGGAGGCAGGGGGGAGGCGGCAGAAAGGCCCTGCGAGCAAATAGCCAACTACGGAAGGCGTGTAAAATCCTGTATCATTTATGAAATATGTATAAAAGCAATGTACCTTCTGGAACAATAAATACTTATTCAATTTTTGAAACAACTTCTCATTCTTTAAAACAAAACCAAATAAACATGTATTTTCCTGTGATTCCAGGTGGGAAATTTTGAGTTGTCAAATTAGTATAAAAATTCCATTTCAAATTAAGCTTTGTTCCTAGAGCCTGTTTTTATCTATCTCATTTCAAAGGGAAAGACAGACACAGAGCTCCCATCTGCTGGTTCAGTCTCAAAATGCCCACAGCAGTCAGAGCGTGGCCCCCTGAGGCTGGGAGCCAGGAATCCATCCAGGTCTCCCCTGGGAGTGGCGGGGACCCAGCTTCTTGAGCCGTCACCTGCCGCCTCCCATGGCGTGCAGTAGCAGGCAGCTGGGGGCAGGGGTGCGAGGACCGGAGCCCAGGCGCTCTGAGGAGGGCTGTGGGCATCCGAAGCAGCAGGGTGACCACCACACCAAGCCCTGCCGCAGCCTGTGCCCTTAAAAACACCTTCTGTTCTTCTTTAAGCCATGATGGTGAACATTTTCCAGAACCACCAAGAGATTGAATGACACCTACAACCATTAGCAAAGCCGGTGACAAGGAGGAGACTGACGTCCTCATCTCTTGATTCTCAGGAAAAAAAATCTCCACTGGGTCAGGACCACCTTGACTGTCCAGTGGGGGTTCTTGGACTCCAGAAGGTTTTTCAAGACTGAACCGAGACGAGACAGTCACAGCTCTCGGATTTGCCATGGTCTCAAAACGGGAAGATACCGCGTGCTGCCATGTTCATCAAAGACACACCAGAAGTGCACACCAGATCTCTCAGTGCTCTTGTGCAGTGGGGGGTGGTGGAGCTCTGCCTGCCTCCGGGCGGCTTAGCCTACCACAGACAACCTTGAGCTACGGAAGCTAGAGGGAGATAAGATGCAAAATGCTAAGCTATTGTTGCAGTCAACAAATAGTATCTACGTTTTCCACACATCCTCGGCTTTGCAGATTTTTTAAAATAAAACATGGTTCCTGCCCCCTGAGACCCCTACACAACAGGTGTGGTGAAGAGGTGGAGAAATTGGACCCTTTCCACTGGTGGTGGGAATGGGTAATGGGCACCCCCTGTGGAAGACTGTGTGGCGGTTCCTCAGATTACACGGGATTTGCCTATGATCTGGCAATTCCACTTCAGGGTGTATGCCCAAAAGAACTGAAGGCAGGGACTCGGCTTTTGTACCCATGTCCTTAGCAGCAGCGTTCTGCATAGCCCAAAAGGGGGCTGAAATCAATGTCTAACAACAGGTGAATGGATGAGCAAAATGTGGCACATGCCTATGGTAGAATATTATGAAACCATAAAAGAATGAAATTTGGGGGTGATAACATGGGTGAACCCTGAAGATGAGCCAGGGACAAGCAGTCAGGGCATAGGTTAGAGTGCTGCTTGGGACACACACCCCCCATATCAAAATAACAGGGTTCAAATCCCTGCACCACTTAAAATTCCAGCTTCCTCTAACGTGCACCGTGGGAGGTGGCAATGGATGGCTCAAATATTCAGGTCCCTGCTTCCCAGATGAGAGACCTGGATGAAGTTCCACCTCCTGGCTTCTTCCTGGCCCAGCTGTAGTTGTGGGAATTTGGGCAGTCTACGAGCACATGGGGGCTCTCTCTCTCTGTCTCTAGATCGCGGCCTTGCAAATAAATCATTTTTTTTTAAACTTTCAGCTGTTAAAAGCAAATATTATCTTAAAACACATGCTGAGTGAAATAAACTGGTCACAAATAAAGCAGTCCACTGATAGGGGTCTCTTGCTGCCACTGAATCGGCAGCTAGGAGTGGGGCCGCCATCTGCCTGAGGAAGCCTCCCTGGTGACTGGTGAGTACTGACCTGGACAAACCACCGCTGGGAGGGAAGGAGCAGAGGCCTGGAGAAGAGGCCATCCTGTAGTCAAATACCAGAGTGCCGGGAACCGGTGAGTACCACTGGGTGTGGTAAATAGGAAGAAAACAACGGAACAGAGCTCCTGTCTCACGCTAATGTTGTATCCTGCTTGTCAGTGTGTTCCTCTCTTTCAAAACCGAATAGAGAGAGTAGTTCAGCTGCCACTTGGGACTCCCCTTCCCACACCGGAGTGCCTGATTTCAGCTGCTCTGCTCCCAATCCAGCTTCCGGCTGATGCATCCTGGAAGGCAGCAGGTGAGGGCTCAAGTACTCAGGCCTCTGTCGCCCACGTGGCAGCCCCTGATGGAGTTCCTGGCTCTTGCAGGCATTTGAGCAGGGAGCCAATGGATAGAAGAAATACCACCACCACCACCAAACACGTGCACACGTGCATGTGTGTTGCCCTGTGTTTCAAGTATATACAAAATAAACACCTGTTAAAAAGTAGAACTAGAGGAGCTGGCACTGTGGTATAGCAGGTAAAACTGCCACCTGCAGTGCAGGCATCCCATATGGGCGCTGGTTTGAGTCCCGGCTGCTCCACTTCTGATCCAGCTCTCTGCTAAGGCCTGGGGGAAAGCAGTAAAAGATGGCCCAAGTCCTTGGGTCCCTACAAATGCGTGGGAGACCCAGAAGAAGTGCCAGGCTCCTGGCTTCAGATTGGCCCAGCTCCGGCCTTTGCAGCCATCTAGGGAATGAACCAACGGATGGAAGACTTTTCCTCCCCTCCCCTCCCCTTCCCCTCCCCTCCCCTCCCCTCCCCTCCCCTTCCCCTCCCCTCCCCTTCTCCTCCCCTCCCCTCCCCTCCCCTTCCCCTCCCCTCCCCTCTCCTCCCCTCCCCTTTCCCTCCCCTCCCCTTCACCTCTCCTTCCCCTCTCCTCCCCTCCCCTTCCCCTCCCCTTCCCCTCCTTTCCTCTCCCCTCCTTTCCCCTCCCCTCCTTTCCCCTCCCCTCCCCTCCCCTCTCTCTCTCTCTCTCTCTCTTCCTTTCAAATAAATAAGTAACTCTTAAAAAAAAAAACCAACTATGTTGAATTTTTAATCTCCCTGGAAAGATTTCATGGAAAAGAGTGACTTGTATTTTTGAACTCAGTTTCACCAAAACTGTAAAGTTTGCGATTCATTTTTTTTCAGTGCCCATAACATTTAGTTCTTTGTTCTCCCCAATAAGTCCAGACTCCCTTTTTCCCACGATGCACTTTGGTTATTTCCTTAGGACAAATGTATAGGCTATTTATTATTATTTAAGAGAGAGAGAAAGAGAGTTCCCGTTCACTGGTTTATTCCCTACGTGCCCACAGTGGCCAAGGCTGGACCAAGGCTGAAGCCAGGAGCCAAGAACTCAGTCTCTCTCCCTTGCGAGTGGCAGGTACCCAATTATTGCATCACCATCACTGCCTCCCAGGGTCTGCACTGTCAGGCAGTTGGAGTTGGGAGCCGAAGGTGAGAATCAAACCCAGGTGCTCCCATGAGGGATGCAGGCAACTTGGCTGCTAGGCAGATGTCCTGTCCTGAATAGGTTAGCTCTAGTGAATCCCACTGAATCTAAATTACCCAGGGCATACATGTTCATCTACCTTTGTTTTGTGAGCACCACACTCTGGGCAACCCGTCCTTGAAACTGCCCTCGGCTCCTGTGACTGCGCGCTTGCCTCTCCTGTCAGTCTCTCCCTGCCCACACCTGTGCTGCCCGCCTCCCCACGCTTCCTTCTGCACCCCGTTTGCCAGGGGTGCTCGCACCCACTCTCCTACTTCAGGTCCCACTTAGGTAGTCCTGAGACCTCTCCCAGCTGATCGAGCTCCAGCATTGGCCCCTGTGCACTGAATGCCTTCTAGGTCACCAGAACTTTCACTTTTACATTCCAACAGGACACACTGTAGGAAACTGGGAAAGAACAAGCGTTAACATTAAATATGGAGGAGGGGTCTGAATGGCAGACACCTCAGAGGCAAATCCAAAGCAGGAGACAGTCTACAGGACAAACGATGGTGTTTCTGCAACAAATCTCAACAAATGTTGTTTCTTCAGCAAACATGGCAAAAGAAATTTAAGTAACACAATGAAACAATTTATAAATCTTGTTTCGGTTCTGACTCCAACTAGCAATAAAAGGAAATACATTGGGGACTATTTAAACTATTGGGGACATTTAAATATGGGCTGCACAGGAGGTATGAAGGGGTCATTACTAATTTTCCTCAATGGTAAAGACACTGTGCATGTGTGGAGAAGAAAGATGGTATGTCAGAAATGCTTGCTGGACTAGAAATAAGGCTGACAATGTGTTAGCTAGCAGTTAATGCAGCTCTCTGTTCATTCTTTCTACTTTTGTGTGTATACGTTTGAAAGCTTTTATCATAGAAAGTTAAAAATGAAAAGGCAGGTCCACTAAAAAGGAAAAAATAGAAATAAGGGGGAACATCCTACCGCCCTGAAAACCCTTGTTTACGGATCCCAGAGGCTGGCTGCTGCAAGTCCTTGACTCCAGCCATCAATCCTGGCAGGCGGCTGCCCGGCTTTATCTCCCGCACACGTCCTCTGCTTCTCGTAACACCCAGGAGGCAGGCAGACGGTGTCTCAGGGACAGGAAACGGCGGAGGGGGGCTGTTTTTTCTGTTGAAACCACTGACACTTAGCACAACCTAGTAACCGGACAGCCCCTGAGCTGCCCATGGCTACTGGTCACACAGCTTGAGTTCCTCGGATGCTAGTGACAAAGCAGCTGACCGCAACTTTAGGTCCGTGGAAACCCCATGCTCAGCTGTCAGCTCTGTGCCCCTCCTGCAGAACTTTTACTTTAGTCACCGCCCAAGCCCGTGACTGGCACAACACCTGGGCCCTGGTACGCACTAGCGTCTACCTGCATGCCTCAGAGCTTAGTGAAACACGGTGCTAGGAGACCGTGAAAACATGGTAAGGACTTCCTCCCCAAGAAGGTACTCCTGCCCGGTCACCGACAGGAAGAGTAGCATGGATGAGATGGAGTGCATGGAACAAAAAAGGCCCAAGCAGGGTGGGCGCGTGACCCAGCAGGTTAAGCCCTGGACCACAGTGCCCGGGATCAAGTCCCACGTCACTTCCCAATCAGCTCCCTGCTAATGCGCCTGGCAGGCAACAGATGCCGGCTTGAGTCCTTGGGCCCTGCCACTCACAGGGGAGACCTGAATGGAGTTCCTGGCTACGGGCTTCAGCCCGGCCCAGCCCTGGCTGGCATACACAGAGTAAGACAGTGGATGAAGTCTCTCTCTCTCTCTCTCTCTCTCTCTCTGTCTCCCCCCTTTCAAATAAATAAATATAAGATTGGGAAAGAAAAATCTTAGTATCCCTTGGATCCTTGCTTAATTTCTAAAAAAACAATAAGAACAACAATAAGAACCCTTTTCCGACCCTTCTTTCTCTCCTTCCCTTCAAGTGATCTTCAGCGCTTGCTGGCCCACAGCTCTGCAGGAGATCAGGGAGCCGCAGATTCCAAAGCTCAAACTCCTAAGGCTGTGGGGACCACGGTGTGCAGGCCCCTGCTGTGCGCCTCTTTTGTCTAAAGGTGAAACTCCAGCACATTTTGACATGTTCCACACTGTTGTTAACTGAGTGAGTAGTTCCTGATTTTTAAATCCCTGCCCTGAACATTCATGAAACAACACATTAACTCATTTAAAACTTTGGGGAGAAGGACAATCTGAAAACAGGAGGTATTACAGCTTGAATTAGTGAAAAAAAAAAAAAAAAAAGGAAAAATAAAACCAACTCACACCTTGTTCTTTCAGGAAGTTTTGAGACTAAAGACCATAATGAAACAAGAGAATGTGGTCGCCACTCCAGGCGTGTCCTGACTGTTAGACTTTGGAAGCTGCTGTCACCTCCTTGGCCAACGGACCAGGATGCTTCCTGAAGACCGACTCCACCACGTAGCCTGCTCCCATCTCATTTGAAGTGTGATGCTATGAAGTCAGTTCCTCGCCATCAGGAACCCAGGTTTTGAGCTGAGGGCATGTCCCTCTTGTAGAGTTCCCTTCTGGACAAGGTAGTGGAAGCCTCATCGCAGGGAATTCTGGGGAGCGAGCAGCAGAAGCCTGGGGCACTGGGAAGCTCCTTCCCTAAACAACAAAACCAGGCCGGCGCCGCGGCTCACTAGGCTAATCCTCCGCCTTGCAGCACCAGCACACGGGGTTCTAGTCCCGGTCGGGGCGCCGGATTCTGTCCCGGTTGCTCCTCTTCCAGTCCAGCTCTCTGCTGTGGCCAGGGAGTGCAGTGGAGGATGGCCCAAGTGCTTGGGCCCTGCACCCCATGGGAGACCAGGAGAAGCACCTGGCTCCTGGCTTCGGATCAGCGCAGTGCGCCAGCTGCTGTGGCCATTGAGGGGTGAACCAACGGCAAAGGAAGACCTTTCTCTCTGTCTCTCTCTCTCACTGTCCACTCTGCCTGTCAAAAAAAAAAAAAAAAAAGGAACAAAATCAGTGAGACAGCCCTGTTGACAGGGCAGAGCAGAGCTCCCATGTGAGGTCAAGGCCGAGCGGTGGACACCGCACCCCGCATCCTCTTCCTCCGATAAAGCCCCAGCCAGCGCTGCTGATAAGACTTTCTTCCTAAGAGCCTTGCAGTCTTTTTTTTTTTTTTTTTCTTTAAGTGCTTAAAAAAGAAAGGCACAGCGCAAACGTGGCACGGACAGGATCTTCAGTCTCTCGGCAGCTGGCGCCCAGCGATGCCTCCGTCCCTGCTTCTCACCTGCATCTTGGTCTCAGTCACGCCAGTGGCGCTCATGGGTGAGTCTCCCCTCCAGAGCGCAGAGCGTTTTCTGCGCTTGCGCTTGGCTGCTTGTGCCGATTCCCGACGGCTCCTAGATCTGGCACCTGCACACGGGCTCTCCAGAGGCGTGGGAAAGTCGCTGGTAACCCCGGAAAGCGGATTTTCAGAGCATTTTTGTGCTGCGCGCCCTTTGACCTCTCGCCCAGGGGTGGGAGTGGTCCGCGGATCTGCCCCTAGCTGAGAGTGCCTTGGAGCAGACAGGACAAGGAACCCTCACCTCCTTATAGTCTAGCCACTTTGAGGGTTGTAACTTTAAAGAGAAAATGCTTTTTAGGAGTTGAGGGTAGTGTTTTGTTTTGTTTTTCCTCCTTTAATAACTGCAAGGCCTGGAAAGTTCTGTCCCCATGAAGCGCACAGATCTGGAGGAACCGAACTGGCTAACGCTGGCAGTCAAAGACCGAGTGGGCGGCCAGCCGGCCGATGGCTTCCACTCCGATGGCAGATTGCGCTCTCACTTCTTTGCCCAACAGGCCAGAACTCCTAACTGGGAGAGGGGGTGCGGTGGGGGCAGAGCCCTCCGCCCGCACTGCTGAGAGGCTGCGCGGCTCACCGACCTGGTTTATGTCTTCGCCTCACTTGGCCCCGGCTCTAGCACCTTTATAAACGGGCTTGAGGCCCTCCGGAGACAGGAAGCCGGGTGGAATGTGGTATCCTGGGTGGGATCGCTGGACGGAGGAGGATGTGGGTAACGACCACGGGAACCTCAGCTGACCACGAACTTGAGCCCGTACCATGTCTCAGCAGTGGGTGACGAATGGCGACAAAGGCAGCAGGGTCACGCAGGGGCATGTCCCACGGGACTCTCCTGTCTTCTCGATTATTCCGTGCATCTACAACTGTTGGGAGTGTCTCCCACTGAGGACTGCCCTGGGCTCCTTCGGGCCCCTCTCCCCTCACTCTCCGGGCTTGCTCCCCCTCGGACGCTCCCGCACCCCTGCGCCCTCCCCCTGGCCCCCCCAGCACGCCTGCGATGTTGGACCCCAAGCCAGAAGCCAGACTAGGGGCAACTTGGGGGGCTGCGGTGGGCGCTTGCCCTGGGAGCAGGAGGGCGGGGAGGAGCCGGGCGCGGTAAGGAAGAAGGGCCCTTCCTGCCTGAGAGCGGGCGCGGGGCTGGGTGACGCCCCCAGGGTTTGGAGGACCCAAGTGGGCACGCGAACTTGTGCTCTCCGTGCCGCCGGGGCGGCGTTTGAGCCAGCGGCGGGGGGATTGGGGCGGGCAGGGCCCCGGGAGCCCGCCCACTGAGAGATGCGTGGCAGCCATTTGGGATCAAAGTGCATCCGACTGCACGCAGGGTTTAAGAGCAGGGACTGCCGTGGGAGGCAGCGGGGACATGTTGTGGAATGAACGCATGATTAGCACCTTTCTCCGGGCCCTGGCTGCCCTAGCACGGACTTGGTAAACGACCCTTCGCTTAAGGGAAAGTTTTATAAATCCTGGAACAGCCATTACAGGGCTCCGGGGTTCTGCAGAAGCTATCCAAGTGTAGCCCCAGGCCTGCGTGAGGCCTCCCCCTCCTCCCCGGAATGCGCCTGAACGCCCTTTCTGGAGCCCGGCTCCCCACCCACCCGAATGCTCTTACCCAGGTGCCCGCCAAATGCTTCCCCGTAATGTCCAGAGAGGAGGCGCGTCTGCCGGCACTGGCACCGGGGCCCAGGCTGCACAGCTGAGCTGGAGTGTGCTTCGCTGTAACAGCCGGTCTTTGCCGGAATCCCAGTTCCTCTTGCCCAGCCGGCCCCGGGGTGGTGCAAACAGCAGAGTTTTCCTCCATCTCCTTCTTGTCTAAACAACAGTTCTCAGCTGTTTCTCTGTTCAGGCCCCCTAGTTCTAAGTCTGCACAGCTCGATTGGGACAAGTTCGTCAGCGTTCTCCATAGAACACAGGCACCCGGTAGGAGCACGGGCTGGCCTGTGAGAGCCTCAGCCCAGCCTCTGTCAGCCGGACAGCTGTCTCTGCAAAAGGGACACAAAGTCTTCAGTCCCACGCGAACACTAAACCTTAGTGGGTTCCCAATAGTTTTATGAAGGGCACTTAGGAGACTCACAGGGTGACTTTTGGGGACTGTAGCTGCTTTCTTTGTTGAGGTGGGCACTCAGGCCGTGTCCCTGTGTGGCGCCCTTCTCCCCCCAGCCCTGGATCCGTGTTCTGCCTACATCAGCCTCAATGAGCCCTGGAGGAACACGGAGCACCAGTTTAATGAGTCTCAAGATCCCCCTCTGTGTGACAACCACGTGGACGGGGAGTGGTACCGCTTCACAGGCATGGCCGGAGACGCCATGCCCACCTTCTGCATACCAGAAAACCACTGTGGGACCCACGCACCTGTCTGGCTCAACGGCAGCCACCCCCTAGAAGGCGACGGCATCGTGCAACGCCAGGCCTGCGCCAGCTTCAGAGGGAACTGCTGCCTGTGGAACACCACGGTGGAGGTCAAGGCTTGCCCCGGAGGCTACTATGTGTACCGTCTGACCAAGCCCAGCGTCTGCTACCACGTCTACTGCGGTCGTGAGTACCTTCCTACGCCCTGCCCCTGCCCCTGCCCTGCTCCGCCACAGACAGGAGTCAGAGAGAGAAGCGCCAGGTGAAATGCAGCTACGCGATGGCGTGACAGTGTGGACCTGTGACTGTGGTTTCTGAGATCGGTTCTCAGACTTTCTGAAAAATTCCCAAAGAAGTAGAAAGGGAAGCAGTTATGACCTGGACCAGTTCTGTTGCATTTTGTCTGTTCCATCAGAGCAAAACATTAGAAAACAGAATGTCTGTTCAGGTAATCCAAATAGTGGTTTCCAACCTTTTTGAGTACAGTGAACCCCTTATGAAATATCAGGAGATAGGCAGATGCTGGATAGCTAGATAGACCATCAGACAGCCAAATTATAGCACTGTGTTAGTATCCACTGGCTTTTAGAAATGGTATACAATGGGAAGTAGCTACTTGAGGACAGGGATACTTTAACATAGACTTCTGTGTTACCAAGCTCCTGAAAACCTGTACAATGTATAAAACAGAGTCCATGGGGGAGTAGAACAGCACGGCCTGTCACTTGTGTTTGGGGAAGTTGTAGATTCGCAGAAACCCATGGCCACCCAGGGGCCGTGGGTCAGAAGCTGGAAATCATTCCCGTAAGCCAGGGAGGCTGCCCCTGGGCACGTGGTCCATTTCCACTGTGTTGTGTAGCCCTGAACACTGAGCGTTGGCTGCTGGTGGCTGGGCGCCTCCCCGCCATCACGCTGCGAGACTCTCGGGGGTGCAAGTGCTGTGCCCCGCACCTCTTACACGAGGCCATCTTTGCCCTCCGGTAGACTTTTATGACATCTGCGATGAAGAGTGCCATGGCAGCTGCGTGGACGCCAGCAAGTGCACCTGCGCTCCGGGAACCGTGCTGGGTCCTGACGGGCAGACGTGCTTTGGTAAGAAACCAGCCGCAAGGTAGGAGCAGGCTAGGAGGAGCCAGGGCACTACGCGAAGCTCTGTCATTTCCCTGGTTTGTCTCTGAACAACTGCACTGGTACTCCCCCCGTTAGGGTGTGACTAAAGCCTTGAGCCATTTCCATCATGACTAAGAGCAGTCTAGAACTAGACTGTCTGCCTTGGTGGCCACTAACCACACATGGCTATAGAGCACTTGGGGTGTGGCTCGTGTGATTGAGAAATTGGATTTTTCTTCATTTTAATCTTAAAACTTATGCTCAATTTTTGTTATTGGTAAACTAAAAATGTCTGGGAAAGGTTCAGTAACTACCAGTTGTTATGACTTGAAATACACTTGTATTTCTTTTTTTTTTTTTTTTTAAGATTTATTTTACTTATTTGAAAGACAGAGTTACAGAGAGAGGTAGAAACAGAAAGAGAGGGGTCTTCCATCCGCTGCTTCACTCCCCAGATGGCGCAATGGCAGGAGCTGTGCTGATCCGAAGCCAGGAGCCAGGTGCTCCTCCTGGTCTCCCATGTGGGTGCAGGACCCAAGGACTTGGGCCATCCTCCACTGCACTCCCAGGCCACAGCAGAGAGCTGGATTGGAAGAGGAGCAGCCAGACCTAGAATCAATGTCCATATGGGAAGCGGGTGCTTCAGGCCAGGGCTTTTTTAAATTTTATATATTTATTTATTTTTGACAGGCAGAGTTAGACAGTGAGAGAGAGAGAGAGAGAGACAGAAAGGTCTTCCTTTTTCCGTTGGTTCACCACCACCACCCCCCCAAGTGGCCACTATGGCCAGTGCATTGCGGCCGGCATGCTGCACTGATCCGATGCCAGGAGCCAGGTGCTTCTCCTGGTCTCCCATTCAGGTGCAGGGCCCAAGGACCTAGGCCATCCTCCACTGCACTCCCGGCAGGCCAGGGCTTTAACCCACTATACCACAGCACCGGCCCCACACTTCTATTTCTGATGACAATTTTGCATGCAAATTGAGATGTGGCAAAAATCATTTAAAAATGTATTCAAAATATATACCTGATTTTGAAGATTAATAAAAATAAATAATGAAACATCTCATTAATAATTTTAAGACTAATTAAATATCAGATTGAATATATTTTGAGTATGATTGGGTTAAAAATCTATTAAAATTAATTTTACCAGTTTCTTTTTTTATTTATTATTACTATTTTGCTGTAGAGCACACCACTTTTTGGGTACAGCTTTTATTTCTATGGCAAAGTAAAAAGTATTATGGTAACATAGTAATCTAGAATTTGTCTCTGAAAACAAAGTAACATGAGTTTGCACTACCATATTTTCCAAACAAAACAGTAGGGTCATGTTGATAAAACTTATACAAGTAATTTTTACTATAATTCTCTAATGTGACTTCATTATTACAATAACAAAAACAGCAGAGGAGAATGGTCACTGTTTTGAAATTTTAACTATTGTGATAGATTAGAGTTGAGATTTAATTCTTTGATATGTATTTTAAAGGCATATATTACCAACATGACAAAAATTTGGTATTCATTTTTATTAAATTTAAAAGATAGCTAGTTACAAAAGAAGAAAAATTAGCTATTGAAAATTTCAAATTGAGCTGGCACCGTGGCTCACTTGGTTAATCCTCCGTCTGCGGTGCTGGCATCCCATATGGGCACCGAGTTCTAGTCCCAGTTGCTCCTCTTCTAGTCCAGCTCTCTGCTGAGGCCCAGGAAGGCAGAGGAGGATGGGCCAGGTGCTTGGGCCCTGCACCTGCACAGGAGACCTGGAAGAAGCTCCTGGCTCCTGGCTTCGGATCAGCATAGTTCCGGCCGTTGCGGCCATCTCGGGGTGAACCAACAGAAGGAAGACCTTTCTCTCTGTCTCTCACACTCTCAATGTCCAACTCTATCTGTCAACTAAAAAAAAATTCTAATTGAAATCTGATGTCAATGCGGATGTATATTACAGAATGCCCTATGAATCTGAGTTAATGTGACTACTAGAAATTTTTGAATTAAATATGCGACTTGCTTTATATTTCTATTGACCAACACTAGTCTGGAATTATCTATTAACAGGAACTACATTCAGGTCTCCCACATGGGTGGCAGGGGCCATCATCTGCTGCCTCTCAGGATGCATTAGCAGGAAACTGGACCAGAAGCAGATATGGGATGCAGGTGTCACAAGTGGCGGCTTAACCCACCGCACCACAGTGACTCCTGGACAGAGTAGCTTTTTTTCTTTTTTTTTTTAAATTTTTTAAAAATAGTTTTTTTTATTTTCTTGAGAGGCAGAGTTAGAGAGAGAGAGCTAAAGAGAGAGAGCTAGAGAGAGAGAGAGAGAGAGAGAGAACCTCCCATCTGCTTGTTCACTCCCCAGATGGCCACACAGCTGGAGGAAGCCAGGAGCCAGGAACTTCTGGGTCTCCCATGTGGGAGCAGGGGCCCGAGGACTTGGGCCATCCTCTGCTGCTTTCCCAAGCACATCAGCAGGGAGCTGGATATGTAGGCATGAGCTGAGCTCTGTGATGTCCTCAGGGTGACTGGTGCACTGAGGCTGTTGGAGATCACCTGGTGAGACAGGAAGCCCCACAATAGTCATTAATCCCTTCTAAGGGCAGTGCCCCTGATGACCTCACATCCTGCTCTGCTCGGCCCCGCCTCTTAAAGGTCCCACCACCTCTGCAGCGTATCACTCAGGAACTTTTGAGAGACACAGTCAAACCATTTCCAAATAATATCGGGGGATACATTTTCTGGGGTCCAGGACCTAAGTAGGGTGTCAGTTCCAGGCATCCATACTCCTGGGCTCAAGGCCATCTGCCTGTCATCTCATGGGTATTTAAACCCCAGTCTTTGCCGTGTGTCCTGTTGTTGTGCCATTGTTCCCGAGAGCCAGGACAAATTGAGTTCACAAGTGTCCCTTTGTAGAAGGAGAGGGACAGACATTCGTTGCTAACCATGCGTTCCTGTGGCATGAGTCCATATCTTTCATCAGATTCTCCAAAAAGTTGCCAATCATTGCTTAAGTACAACTTTTAAATTTTGCTTTGGGGGCAGCTGTTCCTGTTTTAACAGATCACTGCATCACCAAAACATTTCTCTGTGATCTCCTCCTGCCACGGAAGCTCCTTTCCCAGTCCACAACACGATTTGATGTATAAGTTTGAATTTCTTTAGCAACTGTTTCAGACCTCATTGCAGAAGGTGTGATTCACCACTACAGGTAGAGGTCTACCTAGGTCGTGGGAGGCACTTCACCTGGCCAGGGCCCTACCCTGAAGAGAAGGGGAGGGCTGGTGTAGTGGTTAAGGCACCACTTGGCACTACTACTTCCTGCACTGGTGTGTCCGAGCTTGGATCCCTGCCTGCTCCCTACTCCAGCTTCCTGCTGATGTGCAGCCTGGGAGACAGCAGGCGATGGCTCAAAGTAGTTACATCCCTGGCACCTGGCTTCCGCCTCGTCCAACCCTGGCTGTTGTGAGCATTTGGAGAGTGAAGCAGCAGATGGAAGATTCATTCTCTCTCTCTCTCTCTCTCTCTCTCTCTCTCTCACTCTCTTTGCCTTTCGAATAAATATTATAAAAAGAAGAGGGGAAGGGGCTGTCCAGCAGTCCAGTGCCTTCTGTCGGGTCCGCAGTGGTGGAGAGCAGGGTGGTGGGAGCACTGATGCTGAGTCGCCGTGGGGAGCGCAGCTGGGGGAGGTGCGTCCGCGGGACCGGGGCGGGGCGGGGCGGGGGCGGGGTGGGGGGGGAGACTCAGGAGAGTGGATGCCATGAGGTTTTTCTTCTGCAGATGAAAACGAATGTGAGCAGAACAACGGTGGCTGCAGTGAGATCTGTGTGAACCTCAAAAGCTCCTACCGCTGCGAGTGTGGGGTTGGCCGGGCGCTGAGAAGGGACGGCAAGACCTGCGAAGGTGAGGGGGCCTAGAGGGACCCAGCTGAGCATGGGGCGGCAGCCGGCAGGTGGCCTGTTCCCCGGGTGTCCAGAAACCCTGGTGGGGGAGAAGAGGGAAGCCGGCCGCTCAAGCAGTGGCCACGGCTTCCGCATCCAGGACGCTGACACTTATGTAGTGATCGGGGTTCATGTTGATTTTTTTTTTTTTTTTTTGACAGGCAGAGTGGACAGTGAGAGAGAGAGACAGAGAGAAAGGTCTTCCTTTGCCATTGGTTCACCCTCCAATTGCCGCGGCGGCCGGCGTGCTGTGGCCGGCGCACCGCGCTGATCCGATGGCAGGAGCCAGGAGCCAGGTGCTTTTCCTGGTCTCCCATGGGGTGCAGGGCCCAAGCACCTGGGCCATCCTCCACTGCACTCCCGGGCCACAGCAGAGGGCTGGCCTGGAAGAGGGGCAACCGGGACAGAATCCGGCGCCCCGACCGGGACTAGAACCCGGTGTGCCGGCGCCGCAAGGCAGAGGATTAGCCTAGTGAGCCGCGGCGCCGGCCTGGTTCATGTTGATTTTGTCTGCAAGGTTGAACAGGAGGGAATTTTGCTAGACAGAAAGCCACATTTTTTATTGAGGAAATAAAAATAAGGGTTTCTGAGTGTCTCAAACTTCAGTCACTTAGGGTCTCCAGCCAGGCACTCTGGTATGGGACGTGGATGTCACAAGCAGGGGCTTCGCTTCAAGCCCACCCCCGAGTTCACGTTTTTAGCAAGTTCTTTTTGTAGGAGAAAATTTGGGAAACAGGTTCACGCGAAGCCATTTTTCTCCCTCAAATGCTTTTTTGTTTGTTTGTTTTGTTTTGTTTTTGTTTTTGACAGGCAGAGTTAGACAGTGAGAGAGAGAGAGAGAGAAAGGTCTTCATTTCCGTTGGTTCATCCCCCAGATGGCCGCTACGGCCGGTGCGCTGTGCCGATCTGAAGCCAGGAGCTTCCTCCTGGTCTCCCATGGGGTGCAGGGCCCAAGCACCTGGGCCATCCTCCACTGCACTCCCGGGCCACAGCAGAGAGCTGGCCTGGAAGAGGGGCAACCGGGACTAGAACCCGGCACTCCTACTTCAAATGCTTTGCATTAACTGGAGATTGAGACATTCTTTGGAATTAAGTAAAATGATCAAGTTTTAGCAGCAGAGATATAACAAGAGCTCATATGTGTGTCAAATGCACTGCAAATTTTCTACTATTCTTATTTTTAATTTTTAATTGCCATATAATTCACATTTAGGAGTACTGTGTGATGTAATAGTCAACAATAAGGATATTAATGATACCCTTATTAATTTACATAATGTCGCTTATCTATTTTTTTAAACGATTTACTAATTTATTTGAAATGAGGAGTTACAGAGAGGGAGAGAGGCAGAGGCAGACGGAGGTCTTCCATCCACTGCTTCACTCCCCAGATGGCCGCAGCAGGGCCCATCTGAAGCCAGGAGCCAGGATTTTCTTCCAGATCTCCCACATGGGTGCAGGGGCCAAAGGACCTGGGGCCATACTCCACTGTTTTCTCAGGCCATAGTGGAGGGCTGGATTGGAAGTGGAGCAGCCAGGACTTGAACCGGTGGCCATATGGGATTGTTGTTCCTGAGCGAGTGCATTTTGATTACTTCTGTGTAATCTTATCAATTTTTGCATTCCATTTCTTGCATTTCTTCTATCTCATCATCTTCATAATCTAGTATTGAAGTGTCTTGTTCTTTTGGTAGCGTCATATTGTCTTCCTTGTTCTTGTTTCTTGGATTGTTGGTTTGTTGTTTGGCATTTGTGGAGATACTTGGTTTCTTCACCCACCACCCCGCCCCGTTTTCTCCTTGTGCTATGACTCTGTAGATAAGTGGACTGTCCGCTTTCAGTGAATCTCTAGAGGCTTATAGTGGGTGTGGCCAGAGAGCTCTGTTCAGTTCTCCAGGGTTAAGGGCATGCCTAAGGTGACACTTCCAGCTTTGGCATGGTAAGTCTTCTCTCTATTAAATCAGAAGGGAAGTAATTCTGCTCATCTGAGCTCTTCTCCTTGATGGCAATCAGTGCCTGAGCACTGGCCCCAGTGGGTATAATATTCATCTGCTCTGTCCCAAGGACCACACAAAGGATCTGTGCGGTCCTCAGTGTGAGTTCAGATTCCCCAGCGATGTCTCTCACCAGGTAACCAGGAACGGCATAGCTTGTGGCGTCTCCCACTGAGACTGCTCAGCCACACTGAGAGTTCTCCCACACACCCTCAGTTGTTGTTGTTGTTGTTTTTTCACAGTCCCTGCTCAGAAGCTTCACACAGTCACAAGCTCCTAGCCCCCTGTTAGTTCTCCCCACCAGAGTCAGGGGTCTCCACTCAGCTGATTGCCAGGCGCAGACACGAGCTGGCGCAGCTGTTCCGTATGCCCAAAATGACGCCCGCTCTATCAGCTCATATGCCTTTGTAAGGCAATTGGAGAAAGAGAAACAGGTCCCTACCATCCTTTTTTTTCCCTTTTCTTCTCTAGTTTGGCTGGTGCACTTTCCCCATGGGGCTTCAAGCCTCGTTCCCTCTAGGCTCTTCCTGCTGCTTTTTCGCCAGTGGCTCCGGGCTACTGCGGTCTTGTCTCACCTCACTCTCCAGTGCTGGTGTGGAGGCTCTCGGCTGCTGGGGTCCCAAGCCATAGGCACCCACGCCCTCCATGTAGGTCCACTGTGTCCCTCTAATTTCGATGGAGTTTCCTGTGCTGTTTTTTCCCTAACTCTTCCCTGAGATTACACTGTCTCCACTTTTTTTAAACTCTCTTCTTCTGGGCTAGAGCAGTAAGCTCCTCCCCCTACTCCGCCATCTTGGAACCCCGTAAATGCAAACAGAGGAGCACCGCACATTGGAAAATCTGATGGTCCTTTATTGCTGGTGGTGGAGAGCAGGCTCATGCCCTGAAAAACTCTCGACCCTGAAGCCCAAAGCAACAGGGTTTATAAAGGCAAAAACCACAAAAAACGGGACAGGGAATACATGGCTACTAGGGTCAAGCTGACCTAAAGCCTATGCAAAACTAATATCAATTATAATCTTAACAATACCAGTTACAATCTTGACATTAATCCAGGTATTGGCCTAAATCATATGCGGGACATAGACAAATTACAATCTTCTCATTAACCCGGGTGCATGCTAGGGAGCTTCTATGCTTTGCCAAATGTGATGTAGGGGACTGCTGTTGTCCGCGTGTTCTGGGTCATAACTTCAGACCAGAGTCTCACGGTGGAGGAAGGGGTGGTGCTTTCTCTAGATGGAGTCTCGAGTGCTCTGAAATGGAGCTCCTGCTGTTAGGGTGTTACTTTAGGAGGCCATATGTGCTGCGCTATAGCACCGTCCTGATAGTGCCCCTTATCTCAAGCACATTCACCCTTGCAAACTATGCCAACTAAAATGTCATCATTTCTGCTTTAAGAAGTCTGAATTCTCATGACGCTCTTTGCAGATTATATGGGGAGACCAGTGGGGTGACTGTTTACAGAGGACATAAGATTTGTCCACTGGTTAATTAAGGCTGTGAGATAGCAGAGCTATATTCCTGTTCACAGTAATTTACTTCATTCTTGCTATATCCAAAATAATAATACACTATCTCAAGAGGAAAAAATTATGGCTAGTGCCCACAACTTACTCCATGTAACAAACTTGACGTTGTTAACTGAGGAGATATTGACCAGAATATTATAACACGACTGAATGCATTTTAAATTTTATTAAATAAGGGTAATAGCCTGAGTCCTCCTTAAATCTATTCTATGTAATAATCTTTGAATATTAATGAACAGTTCCATGAAGAACATTTGTAATTATTCATGAATTCTTTATTGGAACTATTAAGTCAATCCTCATACAATATTAAAACCTAATAACCATAACTAAAAAGCATTTTAGCAGGCAATAATAAAAGTTATATAGGAGTTACGCTTTAGGATTAACAGTCCTATTTATAATCCTCAAATTTTATTGATAATGCAAACATATGTGATTCTTTAGAAGACTTTTTTATCCTTGTTAAATATATATATATATATGCAGCTGTTTTTAATTTGAAAGTAATTTTCGTTGTTTGGTTTTATTGTCAAACTTAGAAGAAATTACAGAGGAGTAAAAGGAAGACCTTTAATATGAGTCACAGTCTCACTTGCCAGCTGTATCCATTCTACTGGTCTTTGTGTGTTCTTCTAGATTTAAATCTTTCAAGGCAATTTAGATTGTCAGCTTACTTTGCATTTTTAGACCCGGGAATATCTTGAGTGACCATCTAATGCAACCCCTTTGTTTTACAAATATGGAAGTTATGGCTCAGAGGAATAAAATGACTTGAGTAAGATCATTTTTAAGAAAAAATATTTCCCATTAATGTTAACATCTTGAATATTTTTAAGTTTTCTTCCAGCTGTTCCACAGTGTGGTCCCAAATGCTTGGGATGAGCGTGTTTTGGATTTTGTATCTTTCCAGGTTTTGTAATATTCCCACATCACAGGGAGATGTCTTGGGGATGGGACCCAAGTCTAGGCACACAATTCATTTATGTTTCATATGCATCAGGTATGCCTGGCCTGGAGGTGAGTTCACACCGTGTGTGTCGCACATCTGCATTCTGACTGTGACCCATCACAGACGGTCAGGAACTTCCCACTTGTGGTGCTTGTTGACACACAAAAACGTTTTAGATTTTAGAACATTTTGGACTTCTAGTTTCTCGATGAGGGCTTCTCAACCTGTTTATCATTTCCAACTATTTTAAAAGCCTATAGGTGGCCGGCGCCGCGGCTCACTAGGCTAATCCTCCGCCTAGCGGCGCCGGCACACCGGGTTCTAGTCCCGGTCGGGGCACCGGATTCTGTCCCGGTTGCCCCTCTTCCAGGCCAGCTCTCTGCTGTGGCCAGGGAGTGCAGTGGAGGATGGCCCAAGTGCTTGGGCCCTGCACCCCATGGGAGACCAGGATAAGTGGATAAGTACCTGGCTCTTGCCATCGGATCAGCGCGGTGCGCCGGCCGCGGTGGCCATTGGAGGGTGAACCAATGGCTAACGGAAGACCTTTCTCTCTCTCTCTCTCTCACTATCCACTCTGCCAGTCCAAAAAAAAAAAAAAAAAAAAAGCCTATAGGTGGCTGGCGCCATGGCTCACTAGGTTAATCCTCCACCTGTGGCGCCGGCACCCCGGGTTCTAGTCCTGGTCAGGGCGCCAGATTCTGTCCCGGTTGCTCCTCTTCCAGGCCAGCTCTCTGCTGTGGCCCGGGAGTGCAGTGGAGGATGGCCCAAGTGCTTGGGCCCTGCACCCCATGGGAGACCAGGAAAAGCACCTGGCTCCTGGCTTCAGATCGGCGCAGCACACTGGCTGTAGTGGCCATTTGGGGGGTGAACCAACGGAAGGAAGACCTATAACTCTCTCTCTCTCTTACTGCCTAACTCTGCCTGGCCAAAAAAAAAAAAAAAAAAAAAATCCTATAGGCGTGCTTGTAAGGCCACCACAAAACACACCAAACACCGGAGTAAGGGAAAGCGTTTATTGAGGGAAACCTGACAGACCAGAGGGAAGGGGCGAAGAAGGAAAGGAGGGAGAAGGAGAGCGTAAGAGAGAGAGACAGAGAGAGAGGTCAGGAGACGGAGAGGAAGAGAGAGAGGGAGACACACACACACACACATACACACTGTTCAGGAACAGATCCTTTTAAAACTTTGCCGGAGGGCGGTCAGGGAAGCAGGAGCAGCGAATCCCATTAGGGTGGGGTGGAGCTGACACTGGTGGTTGGGCCCTGTGGCCACCTGGCTTCCAGCAATGGCGGCGGGAGCTAGAGCCCAGGATGGTGTCAGGGTGTAGATCGCACCATAGAAAAGACTGTGCCATTTTCCTAACAAGGTTTTTACCCTTTTAAAATATACAGTCACAAACAGGTGATTCTTAATGTCTTTTAAATGTTGCAGATTTATTCGTTGCAATTTTATTCTTCCTATACATTTCATAAAAGTCAGTCTATCCCAAGGTCACTTGCTGATATTCCAAACAACTTTAGAATATTCTTCTTGAACTGAGGGGGCTATAGCTGTAACTGCAAATGAGCTTGTGTCTTTCTCTGAGCATCTCAGATGGCCTGAGAACGTCTCCTTCCATAGGCTAACCCCAGACTTCCTGGAAAGGCCAGACAGTAAATATTTTAGACTTTACGAGCAGAGGCAATAGCATGACACTGCTCCATTCTGCCCTGGAACTCAGAAGGCAGCCTCAGAGAACAGGTGAGTGAGTGAGTGAGTGTGGCTCTGGGCCCGTGCAGCTCTGACCCAGGAGCGGACACCCGTGCTACAAAGGTCATTATTTTCCTCTGCGTGAAGTTTGAAATCACATGGTAGCTTCTTCCATTTCAGCAGAATACATTTCCTTTTCGTCCATTTAATCACTTTCTGGAAATGCAAAATATTAAAATAGGAAGCTTTGGAAAATTGCCTCCTAAATGTCAACACGCGTTCTTTTGAATGGACTTAGAGTGCTGTTCAGGCTTCGTGTGGCCAGTGTGCCTCAGCCCCAGCCCCGTCCCCTGCTCTTGTCCCCAGAGATTTGAGAAGAAAGGCACAATCTAAGGGATCCGCACTGACTCTGACCCATCCGGCTGATCCAATTTAACCCTATCAGTCCCTTTGACATCAATTATGCTTTGTAAAATTTATAAGTGAATTAAATATCATAGCAATGAAGCAGTGGCTTTCGGGTCTTACTCCTGAAAGACCAGAGCCCAGTTTAACAATGAGAAAAATGTTAGCCAAACCCAAATTAAAGGACACTCATTTTACAAACTAACTGACCAGCTCGAGCGGACAGAGACACGGAGGACGAAGGTGGCTCTTGGTGGCTGTAACATTTCACAAACCTCTTTCGCGGTCATGCCCACATGTCCCCGTCACTGGGTGAGACCCGGGGGGCACTGCGTAAGTCAAGTATAATCCCTGCTACAGAGCGCCGCGACCTCGAGGCAAGGGCTGGGAGGTGACTGTTCCCCTGTCGCTCTCTGCTGCAGACATTGAAGGATGCCACAACAGCAATGGGGGCTGCAGCCACTTCTGCCTGGGGCTGGAGCGGGGCTACCAGTGCGAGTGTCCCCGGGGCCTGGTGCTGTCGGAGGACAACCACACCTGCCAAGGTAGGACCCGTGGGCCGGACACACGCTCTGCTCCACTCTGCCTCCGCTCTGCACCTCCTTAGCTTTGCTGTTTGCCTTTGCTTTTTCTCTAATCTCTGTGCTTCCTTGTGCAACAACTCAATCTGGAGGAATAAGACATCGATGCAGTTCTCGCCTTTTCTAGTGGATGCTTGAGTTGAATCCGAATGACACTGGATTGGAAGTCCTGGGGAATGGCTGCTGCTTCTCTCTAGACTTACGTGCACATCAACAGTCCTCCAAGAGCTACTTCCTGGAAATTGAGTTCCGGTGTCCGGCACCTGGTTATGATTCTTTGTCCTGTCCCACTGGTATTGGACTCTTGATAGTAGGCATGCCTTTCTTTTGAGGCAAAGCAAACATGGGACTGCGAAGGAAAAGCAGTGTTCCTACATCAAGTTGAAGTGGAATTCATAGTCAGAGGTTATGGTTTACTGAGCAATGCAAGGACAGTTTGGAAGCCAACCCCAGGTGCACTCACGCTGTTTCTGTATCTCTGCCTTTGTGAGCGGATCAGTGGCAGAGTCACAGCAGTACCATCAGGAAATGTTAGCTTCTCTCAAAGCACTGCTTTTTCTATATTACCCATAAACTGTGTTCCTGCTGGAACTTAACCCTTTAGGGGTCTCGGTGTGACACAAGCCACGCTTTGAAACAAAGACTCATGGAGCTGGAACTCAGTATTTCCCAGTTTGCTGAATGGCGCATTTAAGGAATGCTATTTGACCGTGACCCTGGGGGTTCAGAGTCGTGGTTGCATTCACCAGTTTGCTTTTGAGTCCTTTCAGTTTCCTGGAGAACGGAACAGAAACCTCCAGTTACGCGCGGACGCCATTGTGTCTCCTCGAAGCCTCCACTCCCGCCTCCCTGCCCGGGTTCCGGGTTCTAACAGTAGCCCCTTCCCACAGTCCCTGTCGTGTGCAAGTCCAGCGCCATTGAGGTGAGCGTCCCCCGGGAGCTGGTGGGCGGCCTGGAGCTCTTCCTGACCAACACCTCCTGCCGAGGAGTGTCCAACGGCACCCACGTCAACCTCCTCTTCTCCCTCAAGACCTGCGGCACAGTGGTGGATGTAGGTTCCTCCCGGGGGGCATTTGGGGACCAACCAAAGCCAGTTACTTGAGTGTGGTTGACAGGTATGCGCTGTGGCTTGTGTCTCAAAACATCTGTGTCACTCATTTAGCTCATGTCTGAGTACCTGCCGTGGCCCTGGCACCCCCAGGACAAGGAATGAAGGACATTTCAGCTGTCCTGCTCTCCACGTGTCCGCCTCGCGGTGCCTGGGTGAGCATGGGTGCCAGGAGGCTGGTGACAGCCCTCCACCAGTTATTTGAAAGAAGTGACTGGTAGAGATGTCACTTCGTTTTTGATGTAGTGAATGAGTTGGAGTATTGACCCAGGTTGAGGTACAGGTTTATACTCTCATTCAGAACTCCGCGCACAGCCCCCTGATCAAGAGCCTGAAGTGTGCACCAGGGTCCCTGTCTAGGGACTCACACAGCAGAGATGACCTTGGGTCAGCTGTGGACCAGGGATGAGCAGCATAGTGAGACCAGGCCGCCGGCAGGGCCTCTAGGAGCCAGGAAGGGACAAGCGGGACTGTGTGTGTGTGTGTGTGTGTGTGTGTGGCTTACACAGGCAGTGAGAAAAAGAAAGGGCCTCATGGATGGGAACCAAATGCAGTCTCGGGGCGTGATCTTCAGGCGGGTGCTTGGTGAATGGTGGCACAGCCTGGCCTGCAAGGGCTTCACAGTGGAAAATGAAACCAGACGGGCAGATAGTGTGGACTGTGCTCTCGCGCTTCATCCCCTAGAAGTGGGGTCGAGCAGGAACCGTGGTGACGAAACCTGTGCCGCATCACGGGTGTGCAAGGTGGCCTGCAGAGCAGCGGAGAGCCCTCTGTAACCACTCGGTGACAGGGACACTTCTGTAGGACTCCCACCAAGGGACAATCAGGGAACTAATTTGTCTTGGGGCTCAGCCACTCTTCATGGCAAGTCCTGCTGATTGCCGCTGTGGCTCATCCTGCGGAAATGTTGCCTATTGGGGAGGGGGGTGGGCTCCCGGGAGAGCCGAGGAGGCTGGGCCTAAGTGTGGTGGCCCGGGGTCCAGCTCAGCCCCAGGTCTTGCTGCAGCAGAGCCACCAGGACTAGGCCCCCTGGACGCTGCCAAAGCCGCCCTTTTCTGAAATCCCCCAGCCTTGAATTCGCCGATTCTGCACGGATCAGGGTTTCTGAGCAATGCTGGAAGGGGCTTGCGGGTTGCCCAGGACGTCTTGCTCACACAAGGGCCACTTAGGCACCCACGTCTCCGATGCTTCCATAAACAGATGTCTGGAGTGTTAAGGTGGCGGGGGGTGGGGTGGAGGGGCTGCGTCTTTATGAAAATGAGCCTGCAATGCCTTTCCTGTCCGCCCCGGGCCCGGCTCAGGTGGTGAATGACAAGATCGTGGCCAGCAACCTGGTGACGGGTGTCCCCAAGCAGACCCCGGGCAGCAGCGGCGACGTCATCATCCGCACCAGCAAGCTGCTGATCCCGGTGACGTGCGAGTTCCCGCGCCTCTACACCCTCTCCGAGGGCTACGTGCCCAACCTCCGCAACGCGCCGCTGGAGATCGCGGGCCGAAACCACGGCATCTTCCCCTTCACGCTGGAGATCTTCAAGGACCGCGAGTTTGAGGAGCCCTACCGGGAGGCGCTGCCCACCCTGAAGCTGCGCGACTCGCTCTACTTCGGCATCGAGCCCGTGGTGCACGTGAGCGGCCTGCGGAGCCTGGTGGAGAGCTGCTTCGCCACGCCCACCGCCGAGATGGACGAGACCCTCAAGTACCACCTCATCCGCGACGGGTGAGCGGCCGGGCGGGGGGGGACCCTGGTCTCAGTTCAGGAACTGGAACCATTTATGAACCCGGAGGCGTCCAAAGGACCCCAGAGTGTGTGCAGCTGAGTAGAGGCCATGAGCAAGCATGGGGAGAAAAGCAGAACTGAATTAAATGTGTATATTTAATTGTGAATGTCTGCTCAGAGAGGGCGAGCAGGTGTGCCAGGTGAGGGCCTATCGCGCAGGTGCAGCCCCTCGGTGAACGAGTTGGGCGGGGGAAGCCGGAAGAGAGGTACTTGATGGGGTTCAGGAGAAGAGAAGATCTAGAGAAACCCCCAAAACTGGTCAGAGGAGTCGCTACAGCACCCCGACGTCGGGCTCAGCTCACGGACGGCGGGGTACTGGAAGCACTGATTGCAAAGCCCAGAGCTGGAGCGGGGTAGCCACACAGAGCACGACCCCCTGGGCTCCCAGAGCACCTGGACTGAAGCTTCTTAGACAGACGTGGGGGCGGGGAGGGGCGTGGTCAGCACTGCCCAGGTTTCTGATTGGTCGCCGGCGCTTGTGGCCTTCCTCTGATTGGTTGGCGGTGCTGTGTTCTTGAGAGAACGTCTAGGAGGGCAAAGTGGGCTCCAGCGAGCCTGGGAACCACAACTGGGGGTGGCTGGCTGGGTTCCTGCGAGACAAAGCTGAGCCTGAAGGTGTTACCTGTTGGAGAAACCCGTGAGCAGCTCTGGGGCCGGTGATGAGCTGCAGCCCTCCGTCAGATCGGTGAGTTAATTTGAATAAGTGGTTGGCTTGCTATCGTCATTCGCAAACACTGGCTACAATCCCAGGAAAATTACACTCAACCCCATACCTACAGTAGTATCGCGTGGCTTTCTTCTTTGTTCTAAATGTCGGTGGGATGCATGTCAGGTGGGGTAAGTGGCCTGGCTGGCCATGACGGTGGCCGCACCGCCTCTCCATGCTAGGCCTGTGGGCAGCCTTGGCCTGCTGCGGGCCATCTCTTGCACACTGGCTTTCAATCTTTGATGCACATTCGGATCCACGGAGCAGCTTTTCAAAACATAGCTACTTCTCTCTCTCTCTCTCTCTCTCTCTCTCTCTCTCTCTGCCTCTATTATAATTTTTTTTTTTTTGAATAAGGGGTGGGTGTTTGGCCTAATACCAATTAAGATGCTCGAACCCCAGATCAGAGGATCTGGCTTTGGTACCTGCCTCTGGCTCCTGACTCCAGATTCCTGCTAATGCACACCTGCTAACAACGGCTCAAGCAGTTGGGTCCCTGCCACCCACGTGGTAGAGCTGGATCCAGCCCCCAGCTCTCTGTTTTGGTCTGGTCAGGCCTTGGCCACTGCCGGAATTTGGGAGTGAGCCAGTGAATGAAGATCTGTCTCTGAATCTCTCAAATAAATAAAACTTTTTAGAAAGCAACACCCCAACCCCACTGTCTGCTGCAGAAACGTTGTCTGGACTTCCCTGTTTGCACCTGGACAGCAGATTCAGCCTCCCGCCCCTGCCCCGGGACCCCAGCCCCTCAGAGCCCCAGGCCATCTGCTCAGCCTGTAAATGGGGTCTCACCCTGTGCCTGCCAAGAGCCTTTCCGTGGCTCTTCATTTTCTCTGGTTGATAAATATAATTGTGTCCCAGGAGTGCTTCTAGCCGCAGAGTCCTGTGGCCTCCTCGCTGGTGCCTTGTCGTGCTACCGAATACAACCCTGGCTTAGGGTGGCCTGCAGTAGACCTCGCAGGGATTGGTAGCCCTTTGGGGGTTTAAGTGACCTCCAACTTTTCCAGAAAAGTAGAAGTACCATATTTTATTTCCTTCTTTTGGGCCCAGACTTAACGCCAGGTAGGCTTGGGACTGGAGTTACTTTTGCGCAGGCAGAGGTGGGCTTTGGCTCCTTTTATAACGATTTGTACGGCTTCCGTGGAGTACAGTTCACATACAGTAAATACGCATATTTAGTGTTGTGTTGCTGAGTTCTGATGTGTAAGCCCATGGAACCATCACGGCACACAAGATAAACAGTTCTCTCACTGCACCCTCAGATCTGTTCCTGCCCCTCATATTTGTTTCTTGCAAACACTCATGTATGCAAGACATCCCTCCTGTCCTGGGAAAACACACAGCCGGCTCGGCACAGCCTGTGAAATCCGTGTACGTTTGCGTCACTCAGACCCTCGGTGACGACGGCTTACTTTGATTTGGGACAGGTCTGAGGAGCTGTGCTATTTATGTTTTCGCCCCTAGCACATACAAAACAGAAAAGAAAAAAAAAATGCTGTGGAAGAGGAAAGCGGAGGCAGGAATCCCCAGACCACAGCAGCGCTGGCCCATGTTGTAAGCAGGCAACGGCTGGTCGGCAGTGATGCACGAGCCGCTGCTGGCGCTCACAGAAACGGAAGAGAAGGACAGGTTTCTTTTGCTGGATGCAGTCTTGCAATGCGTGCATCCGAGGGTCTTCAGAAAGTTCACGGAAATGTGTATCATGAAAAAGATCATGCATGGATTTCAAAATTCTTTTGCACCAAAACAGACTTTGGAAATTCTAGTTTCCCATGAACTTGTTGAAGTCCCCTTGCGTATGACGTAATCCGGTTTGCAGCTGGGCTCACGAGGCCCTCACCCTCTGACCCTGGGCTCCTTCAGTTTCAGCTCCCGCCAAAGGGAGTCACTGGCAGTTCCCTGACACTCGCTCTTTGTCCCCTGCTGCTGCCTCGGCCTGAAACCTTTCCCTCCCCTTGGCGTCCTGAGTGTGCTCCTTCAAGGGTCAGTGGGCTTTACTTCCTCCATGAAGCCTCCCTGATTTAGCCGTATCTGAACTACAAACTCTCTTCCTATTTTCTTCTTCCTCGATTCCTAGTGTATAGTAAGGGCCATTAATTATGCGCCAAGTGAATTACTGAGTGAGTCCTTATAGTAATTCGGGGCTATTCCACCAATTCTAAAATAAACATAACAAGCTTTACTCACATTTTTAAATTGTTTATTATTTTCTTTCTGAAAATTGTATTTATTTATTTATTTTTGAAAAGACAGGGCAACAGAGAGGAGGGAGAGACAGAGGAGGAGCTATCTCCCGTCTGCTGGTTAACTCCCCCACCTCGTTGCAGCGGTCAGGACTGGGTCAGGCTGAAGCCAGGAGCCTGGAACTCCATTCACGTTCCCACATGGGTGGCAGGGACCCAAGTCCTTGGGCCACCGTCCATGCCTTCCCAGGCGCATTAGCAGGTGCTCGCCCTCTGGTAGGGGATGCAAGCGTCGAAAGCAGTGGCTTAGCCCACTGCACCAGTTCCTGTTCCTTTTTTTTTTTTTTCTTTTTAATATCATGCTCAAGCTGGTTTTCTCCTGATATTGAAAATGTTATTCACTTTACTTTAGTTTTACCCGGTATATGCTCTTGGAATGCAAAATAATACTAGCCTACTAGAACTAGCAAGTTAATTTCCAGAGAAAGATATATACAAGTGGTCTTCTAAAAGGTCATGGAAAATGAATATTATGGAAAAACTATGCATGGATTTTTTTCCCTCCAGAATAAGCTTATGCTTTTTTTTTTAAATAAATATTTTATTTATTTGAAAGACAGAATTACAGAGAGAGAGAGGGAGGGAGAGAGAAAGATCTTCCATGTGCTGGTTCACTCCCTAAATGGCCACAATGGCCAGGGCTGGGCTGATCTGAAGCCAGGAGTCAGGAGCTTCTTCTGGGTCTCCCACATGGGTGCAGGAACACAAGGACTTGGGCCAGCTTCTACTGCTTTCCTAGGCACATTAACCAGGGAGCTGGATTGGAAGTTAGATAGCAGGGAATTGAACCAGTGTCCATATGGAATGCCAACTCTACACCACAACATTGGCATCTACACTTATCTTTTCATTCCATTTTCACACAAACTTTTTGAAGTACCTTCATATTGAATTCAAAAACCAAGTGGTAGGTGATTTTTTTTGTTTTTTTTGGATAAAGTTACTTTGGATTCCCCCATTCCATTCTTCATTTCTCCAGCACATGAACTTGGAGTTGTCAGAACTAACAGTATCTTAACACAGCAAACACCAGGTTAAGAGGCAAAATCTGTCCTGCGTCTTATTCTATTTTAAAGAATACACAATAGTAGTTTTAGATGAAGATTAATGGAAATTGCTGAAGCATTTAGATGAAAAGAACCATTTTAATACTGAGTTTTATTTTACTAAGAGAGATCTTCTATCCACTGATTTACCCCCAAATGCCTGCAACAGCCAGGGTTGAGATAGGCCAAAGCCAAGACCTAGGAGCTCAGTGGAAGCTGACCACGTGAGCGGCGGGACCCAACTACTTGAGCCATCATGTGCTGCCTTCCCAGGGTGTGGGTCAGCAGGTGGCTGGAATCAGGAGCAGTGTCAGGCCTCCACCCTGGTCCTGCAATATCAAATGCAGGTGTCCCAAGTGGTGTTTACTGCCGTGCCAAATGCCAGCCCCGAGATGCCTTATTTTTAAATAATTTTATTGTATTTTACATTTAAAAATTTATTTTTACTTGAAAGGCAGAGACAGAGAGATACACACACATACCACACAGAACAGGAGATCTTTCGTCCACTGGCTCACTCCCCAAATGCCCACACAAGCTAGGATTGGGCCAGACAGTAACTGGAGCTGGGAGCTTGATCCTGAGCTCCCATGTGGGTGGCAGGACCCCAGATACTTGAGCCGTCACAGCTGCCTCCCAGGGTGTGCATGAGCAGGAAGGTGGCATCAGGAGCTGAGCCATGGAGTTGGGACGTTAACCCAGGTACTCCAATAGGCCACATGGCATCTCAAGCAGTGTCTTGACTGTTGCACCAAATGTCCACCTGCACTGGATTCTTCAACTTCACCCAAACAGCAGCTAGTAGTTGCTGACCAGAAAGTGGCCTGTGTGGGGCCAGTGGGGTAGTGTAGAGGTTAGGCCACCACCTGCAGTGCCAGCATCCCATATGGGTACCAGTTTGAGTCCCAGCCGCTCCACTCCCATTCTAGCTCCCTGCTAATGGCCCAGGAAAGGAATACAAGATGGCCCAAGTCCTTGGGCCTCTGCACCTGCGTGGGAGACCCAGAAGAGGCTCCTGGCTCCTGGCTTAGGATCAGCTCAGCTCCAGCCGTTGTAGCCATTTGGGCAGTGAACCAACCAGTGGGTGGAAGATTGATCTCTCTCCCTCCCCCCTCCTTATATCTCTGGATTTCTGCCTTTCAAATAAATGAATAAGTCTTTTTTCAAAGATTTATTTTATTTTTATATTTACATTTTACATTTATATTTTTATATTTATATATTTACAGAGAGGCAGAGGCAGATAGAGAGAGAGAGAGAGAGTTCTTCCAGCCAGTGGTTCGCTCTCCAGATGGCCCCTGAGCTGGAGCTGAGCCTATCTGAAGCCAGGAACCAGGAGCTTCTTCCAGGTCTCCCACATAGGCGCAGAGGCCCAAGGACTTGGGCCATCTTCCACTGCTGTCCCAGGCCACAGCAGAGAGCTAGATCGGAAGTGGAGCAACCGGGACTTGAACCAGCGCCCATATGGGATGCCTGCACTGCAGGCAGTGGCTTTACCTGCTATGCCACAGCACTGGCCCCTGTGAATAAATCTTAAAAAGGGAACCGGAAAGCGGAGACCTGTGAGCCTGAGGCCTAGGAGCAGCATCAGAGGCTTTTGTACCTGACCGCACATTTTGTCCGTTAGACATGAAAAGTAACTATGTCCAGAAAGAAAAAGTTCCTTTAGAATTTAGAATGCGAAAGAGGCTATGAGAGTGAGTGAGCCTTGGCCTGAGGGCTCATCAACATGTAAAACACAGCCTTAGGGGCCCGCAGTGTGGCCCACTGTGTTGAGTGTCCACTTGAACAGACACATCCCACGTCCGAGTGCCAGGTTCGAGTGCCGGCCATTCCTCTTCCAATCCAGCTCATTTCTAGTGCTCCTGGGAGGCAGCAGATGACCTGAGGGCTTGGTCCCTGCCACCTGGCCCTGGGGGAGACACAGATAGAGTCCCAGGCTCCTGGCTTTGGCCTTGCCCGTGGCAGCCATTTGTGGAGTGAAATAGCAGGTGGAAGATCTCCTACTCTCTGTATCTTTCCCTCTGTCGCAGTCACTCTGCCTTTCAAATAAATATTTTTCAGTCAAAACCAAATGTAGCCTCAGCATGGACAGCCACCGGGGGGAGCCTGGGTGCCTGGCCTCAGGCAGTGGGTCTGAGACTAAACCCGAAGCCCTAGCAGACTGCAGCTTAGCCTTGCATTTAGGAAGAGGGGGATGACAAGGGCCCGAAGGTGAGTGACTTTTCCCCTGTAGGGCCAGTTCTCCTTAGCACTTGGGTGTCTGTGCAGCTCCTGGATGGGGGGTTGTGATTTGCTCCCCTTTCTATCCCCTGCAGTGAGGACTGTCCAGTATTGATGAAATTGAATTAAGAGATACTTTCTAACCCAGTAAGACCATGTGTGAAGGTAGGCTTCCTGCAGTGTATCCCAGATGAAAAGACCACTGCAGGCAAATGGTATCTTTGAAATACATGGGGCTGTCCCTAACTTTTGTTTTTGTTTAAGATTTATTTACTTATTTGAAAGAGTTAGAGAAAGAGGGAGAGACAAAGATTTTCCAGATACTGGTTCACTCCCCCAAATGGCTGCAACGGCCCAGGGCTGGGCCAGGCCATAGCCAGGAGCTTCATCCGGGTCTCCCACGTGGGTGCAGAGTCCCCACACTTGGGCCACCTTCTGTTGCTTTCCCAAGTGCATTAGCAGGGAACCGGATTGGAAGTGGAGCAGCCGGGACTCGAACCAGTGTCCATATGGGATGCCAGAGCTGCAGAAGGCAGCTTAACCCGCTGTGCCCCTGTGCCAGCCCTGTCATTAACTCTCAGACCCAGTGACTTCTGGGGGAGCCCTCGGGCCAGGTTGGTGGGTGCAGCAGGTGTGGACAGGACGGGCGTCCTGGACGTCCTTAGAGGGCAGCGCTGAGCCTGAAGTGGCCTTCACCGGGAGGGAGCTGCACTTTTCCTTCATTCTTCAAAAGTCTGGGCGCAGCCCAGCCCACTCCACCCAGTTTTCCTCTCTCTGGGCCAGCCCTGCTGGCCTGGCTTGTGGGCCAGCTCTGCGGAAGCCATCCAGGCTTACGTGCGCTCTGCCTGCTTTCAGCTGCGTCTCTGACGACTCGGTGAAGCAGTACACGTCCCGGGATCACCTCGCCAAGCACTTCCAGGTCCCCGTCTTCAAGTTCGTGGGCAAGGACCACAAGGTGAGCCTTCCTGGCGGGGACCCCAGCATGTCGGCACTCGGGAAAACACAGGGACACCGCCCACCCAGGAGCGAGCGCAGCAGTGTCGCCAGTATCAGCCCTCCCCAAGCTCTACCCCCTGCCCATAACTGCCCTGTGCAGAGAAAACACTGTGAGGTTATAACTCAAAATCCTGGAGCTCAGGCATGGTTTAAGAAGCCAGTGTGGTGGGTGGTCACTCAGCAAAGGCTCTGGAGGGGAAATACATGAGAAAACAGTGAAACTTGCACTTAAAATGCCAACCAGAATCACTCTGACACCATTTTCTACATCTTGCATTTATAAAAGTTGTAAAATGGCAACGCTTAACGAGGTCCCAGGGAGAAGTTGACAGTGGCAGCATGCTTGGTACATTTTCTGGAAAGCTGTCTATGAAATGCATTCATATCTGTGAAATCGACCTGTTCTTTCCTCTAAAAATTCCAGTTCCGGCAGTCTGCTCCAAACCAGACAGAACAGCACAGGCGGCTGGAAGTGTCTGGAGCACTGCCACGGGGGCTTGGGGGGTTCCCAAGGGCAGCCGCACTTGGGAAAGCAGCAGAAGGTGGCCCAAGTGTGGGGACTCTGCACCCACGTGGGAGACCCGCATGAAGCTCCTGGCTGTGGCCTGGCCCAGCCCTGGGCCGTTGCAGCCATTTGGGGGAGTGAACCAGCCGCGGTCCCCAGGGTCTCAGCCTCCCGCACTGTGCGGCAGTTACCACGATGACAACTACGGGCAAAGCAGGCGTGTGGACGCTGTGTCATCGCGGCCTACGCGCACGTTGAGTGGGCTCCAGTTCAGAGGTGCACAGCTGGGGAGAGGTGGTCAGAGACTGTGTGGAGAAGGCTGGGCGAGGTGAGGTGCAAGCTTCTGGTTTCGCTGTAGTATTTGTCCGGGTGTTGAGCATCCCAACAGAAGGAGGTTCAAGAGGCCAGCGCCCTGTTGTCACAGGCTGTGGGAGTGTGCCGGTCCCCTCTCCCAGAGCGCTGGTCGGAACCATGCCTCGCAGTGCCTAGTCCCGATTTCCCTCCTCAGCCAGGAGCCAGGCACTGGGCAATCGGGAGCACACGGGAGCCAGAGCTGCTCCCAGATCTTGGGGTGAAGGGCCAAGATGTTAGCGTCATGAGGCATGGCTTCGCTAGGGCCTCCCCTGTCCCAGCACAGTGCAGACGTGTCTAGGGATGCCAGTCCTGTTCCAACTTGGCCACGTCCCTAAATGCGTGGAGGTGAGCAGGTTCTTCAACCCCCCAATTCTCAGGTTCCCCATCTGTCAAACCGAGAAGGCAACCTGTACCTCCGAGCAGTGCTGTTGGGATGCAATGCGGGTGTTTCTGTGCAGTGCGGCTCGTGTCTGCTTGGGGACAGGTGGCAGCTGTGACTAACGACCACCGCCCTTGCAGGAGGTGTTTCTGCACTGCCGGGTGCTGGTGTGTGGGATGCTGGACGAGCGGTCCCGCTGTGCCCAGGGCTGCCATCGGCGACTGCGGCGCGGCGCAGAGGAAGGTGGCGACTCCCGGGGTCTGCAGAGCCGGATGCTGACGGGCGGCCCCATCGCCATCGACCGGGAGGAGTAGTCAGCCGTCGGGCCTCGCCTTCCCGGCTCGGGCTGCCCTCTGGAACTTCTCCCCACTGCCTCTGGAACACCAGCGACCCCCGGAGGGCCCCCCACTTCTCCAAACCTGACGCCGCGGGCTCAACCTCCCAGCTTCGACTCCCTCCGCGCCTGGCCCGCTGGGTGCGCCAGGCCACAGCGGCGCCCACCGCTGGCCTGGGCGGGGTTCTCCTTGCTAAGCTGTTCCCGCAGAATGACGCTCGCCCTCTGTGCCCCATTTCCTTCCTACCATTAAATACCTCATATGTGATGCAGTAGGACCACTACAGTCGGAAGCTGGGTAGAGTTATTTCAAGCTAGAAAGCTAAAGAAAAGTTACCAAAATTCTGACTCATGTGTTAATAATAATTATAGCCTGAAATTTTAATTCAAATACAGAATAGTTATGGTGGATAAGGAAGTTTATCAATAAACCTATGTGTAATAAAAAAACACTACTTGATTTTTCTCTTGCATAATATTTTGATATTTTGCTGTTGCCTTCAGCGAAGTTTTTTCACTGAATAAATGTAAGTAAATTCACCCACATGGATTTAAGTGGCTCAGTGATTGAACTACAAGCAAAGGTTGGCGTCATAAATCCTGTTAATTGGTATGCTATGCCCTCAGGTTGGTAACAGAAGAAGGTATAAAATTATACTGTATTCTATTTTATAAGAACATAATACATTTCACTGAAATAAATATACATTAAAGATAAATTTTATGTGCCAGTAAATCCAACTTTTTAATGTGCCAATTAATTTTATGACTACACAGGATCAGAAAAGGTTTCCTGCTTGTTCATATCATCGGAGTGTCTGGGCTGAGTCCCAGCTCCTCTGCTTCCTGCTAGCGCGCACCCTGGGACATAGCCAGTGACGGTTCGAATACCCGGGCTCCTGCCACCCACGCGGGAAACCAGCACGGAGTCCCCAGCTCCTTGCTTCCCCCTGGCCCAGCCCCAACCGTGTGGGCATCTGGGGAGTGAACCAGCTGGCGTAAGATCTCTCTCTCTCTGCTTTTTCAATAAAATGAAACAAGTATTTAAAAAAAAAAAAATGGCTACAATGAACAATTCTTAGAACCAGTGAGGTTAACAAAAAGAAGGGGAAAATGCTTTCGACCGGAGACAACCAAGCTTTTGCTGTAAACGGGTAGGAGGGAAACACTTTGGCTCTCTGGGTCATCTACACTGTGCTGCGGCAGTGCCCACGGGTGTGAACACGGCCGTGTGGCTGTGAAACTAAACTGCAACCGGCTTTGGGCTGCATTTGGCCCACGGGACACACCTGACCTGGGGGGCCCTCCACCCTGTCACCACCCGGGGAGGTGGGTGCTCACACAGTCCCAGTGCACAGGCTCCACCGCCCGGGGTTCCCTATTGGCTTGTTTTCAGTGGTCCTCAGCTGAGTGCAATCTGCAGTCTGGGCTGAGAACCACAGTTGAGGGAATGGCCATTTGCCCCTGGCTCCCCGCAGGGTGCAGGCCCTTTGCTAGCTGTCTACACTGGCAGCCCTTCCGAGTGCGACCAGATCTTAGCATGACCCCAACACCACCGGGAGCTGGGAACACCAACAGAGTGGAGATGCAGGAGGCCACAGGAGGAACCTCTGAGACCTAAACCCGCCTGACCTTCCCCAGGTAAGAGCTTGCCCAGTGCACCTGTTTCTGTCTCGTTCGCATCAGCAGCGGCACTTACCGGGTCGGCTTCTGTTCTCTTCTCTGTGAAATGGAAGCGTTTTGGAGATAATGGAATTCATTCATCTCTTTTCAAATGTTCTAGAAAGTACACTTTATTAAATGTGAGATGCTTACTGGCAACCAAAACAAGGGCCAGAGGAAAGTCACTGCCTCCCGTATGGCCGGGCTCCCCAAAATTCCGCCTATGAACGTCGTAGTTAGCAGGTGCAGCAGGGGCAGGGCTGGCTTGTGATGTCGCCTCTCAGCCCAGAGCTCACGTTGCAGGGCAGTGTGTCTTCTCGGGCCAGCGTGAAAGTCAGGAGTCGCCTTCAAGTCACTGCACGTCTTTTTGTCGATTTTCCTCAAGTTGAGGACGGTTCGCACGACGCTTCCTTAGTCTGGCTCTGTGGTGTCCGCTGGCCGGGAGACGGGAGGAGACACACACGGCTGCCTGGCTGCCGTCTCGCGGGCCCCCGCGATGCCTCACAGCTCTTCCTTCTCCTCCTCCGCGCAGATGCACGCGGCCCGCTGACTGTTCATGAAGGGCCGGCAGCCCAGGGTCCACACGGTGTTGAACACGGTGTCAGCCAGAGAGTCACAGGCTGCTTGAGAAAGATGAGAGAGGTGAAGGTTAACATGGAAGACCACCCCGGGGGCTGGGCAACTTTGAAGAAGCGAAGTTGCTGTCCTGGCATAACACGGCGCCTGAGGAAAGCAGAGACAGGCATCCCAGGACAGAATTCAAGGGAAGAGCTTATGTTTAAGAGACTTTTCAGGAAAGCACATATCCAGGATACACTTCGAGATGTCTTCCTTTTGGGGGACCCAACACTGGTTACCAATCAGAATCTCTGTACCATGATGCTTAGTCCACGGGAAATCTCCCATGTTTTGGCAGAACACACCCCTTAAGTAAAACTTGTGTGTTTCCCATAGCTTCCCCTGTTGGAGTTGGGGATGCATTCATTCATGAAAAGCCACTGTGTGTGTTGGATGTGTTGCCCCCCCACCCCCACCCCGTTAGGTCCACTCCTGGTGAGCCAGGCACGAAAGCATCATCGCCAGCTCGATCTCACAGTCTGGACAGAGGTGGACAGGATACACAGGTCAACAGGTAGAGACATAGGCCACGAGAGGAGGGTCCCCCGAGGGGGGTGGGGGCCACAGGACAGGAAGGGCCTCTGTCCCTTTGGAGTGAGGCTTATTGGGGAAGGCGGCTCAGAAGAATTAAGGTATCTAGGTTTAAACGTTAAAAATGACTAGGCAGGGCCAGCGCCGCGGCTCACTAGGCTAATCCTCCGCCTTGCGGCGCCGGCACACCGGGCTCTAGTCCCAGTTGGGGCGCCAGATTCTGTCCCGGTTGCCCCTCTTCCAGGCCAGCTCTCTGCTGTGGCCAGGGAGTGCAGTGGAGGATGGCCCAGGTGCTTGGGCCCTGCACCCCATGGGAGACCAGGAAAAGCACCTGGCTCCTGCCATCGGATCAGCGCGGTGCACCAGCCGCAGTGCGCCAGCCGCGGCAGCCATTGGAGGGTGAACCAACGGCAAAGGAAGACCTTTCTCTCTGTTTGTCTCTCTCACTGTCCACTCTGCCTGTCAAAAAAAAAAAAAAAAAAAAAAAAGAATAAGAATGACTAGCCAGATGAAGAATGGACACACGCTACCACGTGGATGGATCTTGGAAACACGATGCTAAGTAAAAGCTGGATGCAAAAGCCCGCGGTCTCTGTGGATCCATTAATGTGAAAGGGCGGGAGGGGGCCACACATAGAGACAGGGAGAGTAGGTTCAGGGTCGCCAATGGCTGTGGGTAGAGTGCTGAGGACTGACTGCTAACAAGTAGGGGCTTCTCTGGGGCAAATGACCCCATTCTGGTAGCAGACTGTGGCAAAGGCTGCACAACTCTGTGACTGTATGAAAATCCATGGGATGGTTACTTTAATGGGCTGAATTTTATGGTATGTTAATTGGTTTAAAAAAAAGTTGGCTCACTGAAAAGCTCAAAAATGTTAAACTTTCAGCTAAAGTGAGCAACAGAAAGAGAGAGAAGAGCCTTATTCAGGGGTGAAAGTGGCCATCGCTACCGGTCTACAGAAACAAACCGGCTTCTGAGGGAATGCTACAGATAACTCGTGCCAGAGAATTAGACAAACCTCAACAGAATGGACAAATTCCAAGAAAGACATGCCCTGCTGAAAGGGACTCAAGACAAAATTTAAAAAGTGACTAGATTGCTAGTGTATATAAATACAATTGCTAAGTTAAGACCTGGAGTTAGTCATTAAAAATTTCTACATGACTTCACTGGAGAATTTTACCAAAAAATATTTTTTTTATCTTACTTATTTTTGATAGGCAGAGTGGACAGTGAGAGACAGAGAGAAAGGTCCTCCTTTTCCGTTGGTTCACCCCACAATGGCGCTGCTGCGGCTGGTGCACCGTGCTGATCCGAAGCCAGGAGCCAGGTGCTTCTCCTGATCTCCCATGGGGTGCAGGGCCCAAGCACTTGGCCCATCCTCCACTGCACTCCTGGGCCACAGCAGAGAGCTGGCCTGGAAGAGGGGCAACCGGGACAGAATCCGGGGCACCGACCAGGACTAGAACCCGGTGTGCCAGCACTACAGGTGGAGGATTAGCCTACTGAGCCGCAGCGCCAGCCAAAAAATATTTTTTTTTTTTTGTTTTTTTTTTTTTTTGTTTTTTTTTGTTTTTTTGACAGGCAGAGTGGACAGTGAGAGAGAGAGACAGAGAGAGAAAGGTCTTCCTTTTGCCGTTGGTTCACCCTCCAATGGCCGCCGCTGCAGCCGGCGCACCGCGCTGATCCTGGCAGGAGCCAGGAGCCAGGTGCTTTTCCTGGTCTCCCATGGGGTGCAGGGCCCAAGCACCTGGGCCATCCTCCACTGCACTCCCTGGCCATAGCAGAGAGCTGGCCTGGAAGAGGGGCAACCGGGACAGAATCCGGCGCCCCAACCGGGACTAGAACCCGGTGTGCCGGCGCCGCAAGGTGGAGGATTAGCCTATTGAGCCACGGCGCCGGCCAATATTTTTAAGATTTATTTATATATGTGAAAGGCAAACTCACAGAGAGGGAGTTTTGGTTCACTCCCAAAATGGCCACAACAGCCAGGGTTGGGCCAGGTTCAAGTGAGGAGGCTGGAGCTCCTTCTAGGTCTCCCACACAAGTACAGGGGCCCGAGCACTTTGCCATCTCCAGCTGTTTTCCCAGGAGCATTAGCTGGAAGCTTGATCAAAGTGGAGCAGCTGGGACTCAAACCAGTGCCTCCATACAACGCAGCAGCTTAATTCGTGGGCCACAACACCAGCCCCATTTACCAAACACTTAAAGAAGCATTAGTACCAGTCTATTTCAAATTCTTCCAAAAATCAGGGGAGGAAGGATCATTGCTCAACTACTTTTGTGAGATCAGTATTACACTGACACCAAAATCAGACAAAGACGTCACCAGAGTAACAAGCTGTAGACCAATTACCTTTGTGAATATAGTTGTAAACCCCTCAAAAAAATACTAACAAAATCAAATCCAGTGTCACGTAGAAAGGACTACACCACGACAAAATAGGATTTATCCTAAGAAAGCAAGCTTGGGGGCCAGCACTGTGGCATAGTGGGTAAAGCCACCGCCTGCAGTGCCTGCATCCCATAAGGGCGCCAGGTCAAGTCCCGGCTGCTCCACTTCCAATCCAGCTCCCTGCTATGGCCTGGGATAGCAGTAGAAGATGGATCAAGTCCTTGGCACCCTGCACCTGTGTGGGAGAC